TGAAGTGTTGATTAGGTGGTTAATCATGCTAGCAATTAATGCATTAAATCTACGTTGATTGGACTGGGGTTCAGTCCCCCTTTTTGCTGTTTAGGTTTTGTTTTACATTTGACATTTCAATTGTATGATGGTAATACACTTTAAGTAGGGAGAAACATAAGTAAAGCTTCTTCAGTAGATGTTTTGAAACGAAACCCAGGAAAAATAAAAGCACCTGGTGTTTTACGGACTATTTAATTTTACATTAAATGTATGGCAGTTGGGTTTGATTTCATTTTTCTTAAAGAACAGTTTCAAACTGGGGTGGGGGTGGGGGGAACCTGGGTTGTGTTAGCACTAAAATACTGTTTTGTTCAAATGCAGCATGCTCTTTCTGCAAATCTGCACACTCTGCCTTGGGAATAAGCCCCATTAATTACAATGTCCCTTCTGTAGGATTCTGCTCTGTCCCTTTAACCCTTTCTTTTTCCAAATAGCATTGCCTTTACAGTGGAACCTCTACTCAAGACCACAATCCGTTCCGGAGGCCCGTCCTTATGGCGAAACGGGTCGCTGGTAGAAGCGGTGTTGTGCCAGGCGCATTCGGCGGCAGCCCACTTCTGTGCATGTGCGAATCACGGCAAACCCGGTGTTTACTTCTGGGTTTGCCCCGGTCGTGACTTGGAATGGGCCTAAGTAGAGAGGGACATAAGTAGAGGTTCTGCTGTAGCTTGATTTGTTTTCCCTCCCTAAGTTATAGCTGAGGTAGGGGGATCAAGATTGGGACTTCAGCAAGGAGGGAGGGGATATTTAATGCTTTCCCCTCCCACCATGGTTCTGATGACCATCCCTTTCCCAACATTTGGGGCTGTTGAAAAGGGACTGTCCACCTGGCTACAGAATGTCATTTTGGATTTCACAAGTCTGGTAGCTGAGTTGCATTTCCATTTGCAGCTTGAAGCTGAACAGTGACAGTTGGGTGCTTTTAAATTCCTCATTTCTTCAAGCATCCCAAGGACTTAAATATGTGATTCACTGTATATCAGTTTCTTTTCTGATAGTCTCAGGAACTGTAAGGCAGAGGACCTAATTTCCCAACAAAGTCATACCGACAAAAGGTACATATGACAATGTGTGACAACAGAGGTACAGTCTCTTATATTACAGTGTTGTGCTTGTCTCAAGAAAGATGGGAAACTCTGTTGTCTACAAGCTATTTAGTCAGAGGAAGAGAAAACTCTGGTCACTCACTGCTTTCTTTAAGTGCATAAAATTTTTATTTGAGCCAGCAGCTTAGAAGAGCAAATGGGTCCAAAGATTTGAGTTCTTTTTTCCTCCCTCAGCACAAGAAATTGACAACCTAGCCTGAAATTACTTGCTGTTCTCTACTATGGAAGAACAAGAATACAAATGTTCATGATCCCCAGAAACACCATATGCCTTACACAAAAGGACAGTTAACTCAAAGAATAGAGATCAATTCCATGGTATGACATTTCAATCAAGCCTGACAGAGTCAAGAGAAATGCTCTTTTGTTATGGAATTACAATTGCACTGAAATTTATACAGGTAGATTGCAGCGCAGACCAGAGCTTCATATCTGCATGCAGAATGCTCTCTGAGTAAATATGTTTTTATTGGGAATAAATGGTGTTTATGAATCGAATTTATGGGCTCATATATAACTGGTGCTCTGAAAATTATTTTTACGGCAAAATATGCTATTTTGCTGTCATCATTTGTCCCAGTATGTTCCAAGTAACAGCAGTTCTGAAACAGCATACGCGTACTGCTCTCTTCTGCTCTGCTACCAAAGGCAAGCTTGAATTATGTCTGACTTATTCCAATTGCTCTTATTTGAGGGAAGCAAGGTTGCAGCAAATATTCTGCAGATGCTTGCTGTGTGGTGTATCCAGCTTTGGCTTTGCTACCTTGAAGGGGAAAGGTAACCTTTTTCTTTAATGCAAGCAGGACTGGCTTTCGTCCCGCTGCTTCGTGGATGTAAAAGTACACTGCCCTGCTGTTAGGAATAGATGGCCTGTGAAACCTCCAGTAGGCTGAAATTCACCCACGTAGCCTTAATTTATATACCCGTTTGCCACTTGTCAGACAGTGAACCTTTTCATGCTATTTCTTGTAACAGCCATAGAGTGGAAGCCATCTTTAGAAAACTTAGGGTTTAGAAATCATTATTCGAAAGGATCTTAATTTTTCCTAAACCAGGAACGTTTCAGAAACAATATCACCAGCTTTTCAGGACTGAGACGATCACAACTGATTTTGTTTTCATGTTCAGAAACAAAAATTGTGGCCACATGAGGTTTCATAAAGGCGAAAATAAATAAAATTGCTTGATTTGTGAGACTGTAAGTGCTAAAAAACGCACACCCTGCATTGAAACAGCTTTGTCCTTGTCCTACAGTCACAAGGACAGCATTGCTGTGGGCCACATTTTAGGACTCTGCAGGCTACTCCTTTAGTTTGGGCCACACATTGAGCAATCCTGACTTAAACCTACTGAGCAATTACCTGAAATGTGTTCGCAGATATGGCTTTTCTCTCTTGTGAGATTATTTTCCATTACGACTAGTGCTGCTCTCTTAAAGTACAACCGCAATCATTACATTCATCCCCCAAAGCCCAACAGAACTGCCTTTATCCTGTTTGATTGTAGAATCATTATGAAATCCCATTTGATGCTTTGGGTTTGCTTTCATGATCACTTCCCCTTAACCACCCCAATAATTGTTATTTTTGCATAGGTTAGTGTGTATGCCAAAAAAAAAAAAAGGCACACACAAAAGCAGTAGGAAAAAAGGCTCTTTCTGTCTCAACTAGAATTTCTCCAGAGTTTTTTCTGCCTCATGATGCCCAAGGGAAAGACTTGCTCCTGGCTCCTGGCTCTGAGATTTAAGGATGTATGCTGGTGCCCATAGGGATGATCTCCCCCTTTCTCTGTGAAGGGAGGAAAAAAGGTGCATTTTGAAGACAAGGGCAATGGAGGGAACATCTCCTGTGCTCTGTCTTTGCTTGGGAAACACCTCTTTATTTCTGCTTGCCTTGACTGCATGTGGCTTTTGCCAGCTTCTCTGCTTTATATAAAAATTATTTGTATGGGGTGTTAGGGGAGGGGTCATGCCTCTGGTGGGAGACACATTGTGCTCCTTCTGGGGTAGCTTGTCCCCACCCTGCACTGAGCTTTCACCTGTGGCTCCTAAAAGCTGTCAGCATGTGACAATGGCCACACCCCAGTGAACAGCTTTGACTACCCAGCTAAACCAGGTGACGGTATACAATGGATCTCAAACCCTCAGTGAATTAGGGACTTTCCCTGCACGTGAAGACAGGCTGCACCGGATTGAGTGGATGAGACAAGTAGTGGGTCAAATGGTCAAGAAGGCAATTTCTGCGTTTGCTGTAGAGGGAAGTGAGGGTCAGATGGGGCTCATCAACCTGGGGAGGTAGCCCATCTAGAAGGAAAACTCTGATCCTAAACCTCCATTGCTTGCGAGAGATCTTTGGGAGAAGAGAAGGCAAAGGAGTAAACCCTACACAAACCCAGAGTGGAATCCCTGAGATGGTTGGATGGTGCCTTGTACGACTTCTTTCAGCAATTCCTGCAGCCAGGTTGGGGCCAAATGTATTGCTCTGGTTTCCTTTGGAGCAGATCAGCAAGGCTGAGAGGGAGGTCATCGCCTGAGCAGCCCAGGACCTCCATGCACACAGTCCAGGCTTGCACCCCAGGGAGGTCACTTGGATGCTGCTAACAACAGCAGTTTGACTTCACCCCTGGAGGCTCACATCACTGTCCCTTGAGACCAACAGATGCCAAAAAATTATTTGGATGGGGAGAAGCATCCTATTAAGCGTATGAGAAATCAGTGGTATATAAAGTTGTCACCTCTTATTTTCCTTCCATATGCTTGTGTAAAAACAAATGCTATCTATCTCTAGTCTTGTTTTGAGTATATTTGGCAAAACTTTCCATAGAAATGTACCTACATAAACTGTATTTGAGTTTAAGGTGGCGCATGGGAAGCATTCTGATTCCTTTTTCTTTTTTTGAAAAAGAGCTACTTCCTCATTTCCTTGCCTCTTGAATTCACATCAAAGTGTAGCAGTAGGAAGATTAAATGTGTAGGACTATTGAGCATTATTGGCAATTGATACCACTAGGGACCTTCCTCTGCTGCAGCAGAAGCTAACCAAACATATGTTTAAAGTCTATTGTGGTGCATTGGAGTTACTGTTTGCACTGGATAATTTAAGTAGGCAAAAGTAGAGAAAGTGTCTTAGAGAAGTATATGTAACTAACGTTAGAGCTAGGAGAAGCACTTGAACCTAAATCAGTATCTTGGATTAATGTTTTCCTAGAGAGCTTTGAAGATGTAAAGTACTGTTTAAGACTATAGCATCTTTCATCAACATAAATTGAACTCATTGACCTGAGATCATCTTAAAACCTGAATCTTTATCTTTAGCCTTAAAGGTTTAAACATTCTTTTCTGCCTTTTGTATAGGAGAACAGCAGGCTGAAAGTAGTAAAGAAAGTAGTAAAGAAAGTAGTAAAGAGCATAACATCATACATGTTGCATGTAAAAATTGCTTTTTCTCTTAAACTTCTTCAGTCCTAAGATACTTTGGAAGTAATCTCAGTTCTTAACATGTTTTATACCCAAATATCTGTGGGACAAAAATGTTATTGGATCCATCAGTTGTATTCAGTGTTAGTCCCTCTCAGGGTAGAGCTATCAAAATTAACTGACTTTCATTATTTTCTTTGGGTCTACTCTGACCCATTGTATTGCTTGAGTATGTATGTCTTGCTTGGGTCTGGTGAAAAATGGGTAGATAATGCAGAGGTTCAAAATGTGATTCAGTAAAGATGTCACTTAAAACTAGCAAGGTAATAGAACAAAGCTTTTTAAACAAGTCCTTTGGACATCACTAATTTGAATGTGGCTAAGATTGACCAGTTTTATTTTACTAAATAAAAGCTTTTACAACTGCATTTCTCCAGAAACCACACAGATTGAAGATCCAAGAAAACAATGGAGGCAAGAACAAGAGAAAATGCTGAAAGATTATCTTACAGTAGCACAAGATGCACTCAGCACTCAGAAAGAACTGTACCATGTGAAAGAACAGAGACTAGCACTTGCTTTGGATGAATATGTGAGGCTGAATGATGCTTACAAGGAGAAATCAAGTTCTCATACAAGCTGTACGTATCTTAGAAATACGGTATTTGTATTTATTCATTCATTTGTTGCTGTAATAGTAGTAGTAGTAGTAGTAGTAGTAGTAGCAGTAGTAGTAGTAGTAGTAAATTTGTACCCCGCCTATCTGACTGGGTTGCCCCAGCCACTCTGGGTGGCTTCCAGCATATATGAAAACATAGTAAAACATTAAACTTTAAAAAGCTTCCCTGTACAGGGCTGCCTTCAGCTGTCTTCTAAAAGTTCCTTGACATCTGATGGGAGGGCATTCCACAGGGCCACTACCGAGAAGGCCCTCTGCCTGGTTCCCTGTAGCTTTACTTCTCGCAGTGTGGGAACCACCAGAAGGCCCTTTGTGCTGTATCTCAATGTCCGCGCTGAACGATGGGGTTTGAGATGCTTCTTCAGGTATACAGGGCTAAGATCATTTAGGGCAGGGGTGTCAAACTCAAATTCATAGGGGCCGCATCAGCAGTTTGGTCACCCTCAAAGGGCTGGTTGTATCTGTAGGACTTACAGTACAGGAGAGAAGGGTTCAGGCAGCCGTTGGATCTGTCACATCACAGGATGGCATGCGCTCAATATAAAAACAAGTGGAGGTTTCCTGAATGCATGTAAAGTGGAGGTTTCCTGTGTAGAACGGCCGGCGCCGCTAGAGGGCAGACGTTCTCTGGCTTGTAGGCTGCCGCGCATGCGCTGAAGAGGCGGCTTTCTTGTGTCAAAAAAAAGAAAGAAAGCGAGAATAAAAGGTGAAGGCTGGCGGCGGCTACACGGGCCACATGACGAGGTATGGCGGGCCGGATTCGGCCCGCGGACCTTGTGTTTGACACCTGTGATTTAGGGCTTTAAAGATCAGCACCAGCACTTTGAATTGTGCTCAGAAACGTACTGGGAGCCAATGTTGGTCTTTCAGGACCTGTGTTATATGGTCTTGGCAGTTCCTCCCACTCGCCAATCGAGCTGCCACATTCTGGATTAGTTGTAGTTTCTGAGTCACCTTCAAAGGTAGCCCCACATAGAGCGCATTGCAATAGTCCAAGCGGGAGATAACCAGCGCATGTACCACTCTGGTGAGACAGTACGCAGACAGGTAGGGTCTCAGCTGCATACCAAATGGAGCCGGTAGACAGCTGCCCTAGATACAGAATTAACTTGTGACTCCATGGACAGCTGTGAGTCCAAAATGACTCCCAGGTTGGGTAGCTGTTCCTTCAGGGGCTCAGTTACCCCATTCAGGACTAGGGAGTTCCCCACACCTGCCCGTCCTCTGTCCCACAGAAACAATACTTCTGTCTTTTTGGGATTCAACCACAATCTGTTAGCTGCCATCCATCCTCCAACCACCTCCAAACTAGTGATGGATGAAACTGTCAGTTTCGATTCCTCTCAGTTCCTTATTTTCCCAGCCATTTTCACATCAGTTTGCTATATATATAAAAAGTCACTACAAAAATTATATGTATATGTACATTTTCGTGCACTTTTCTCCTAGCATACACATTTTTGAATGAAATTCTGCTTGATGTGCCATTTGCAAGCAATTTCCCTTAATATCGTACATTTTTGTACACATATTTTGAGTGGCAAACTACATTGCAAGATTCAGACAGGTCAAATTCTGAAGGATAGTTCTGTTTTATTTTGCATCCTGGTTCAGGAAGTGCAAATTAGGTAGTTTCCTGTTAAAATGCAATGTGAACGAATTTTTCCTCCATCCCTATTATGGTTGTGTCAAAATGAATTTTAATCTTGAGCCAGTTTTAAACACCCCCAAAAAGGCCAGTTGCTTGTTCATTTGTGTAAACTTCACTCGTGTATCATCTTCTAATAATTTTATGGTGCTCTTCAGTTGATAGAAAGAAAATGTATTTGAATATTTGTTGTTCTCGTGCTGTAGCTTTGGCTGTAATACAGCAATGTGATGCAATTAAACAATGAGCCATTTCTTAGCTGGTTAAATATATTTTCCATTTTCTTTAAATTTTCCTAATAAGTATTTTCAAGCTCCTCTTCCAGCACTAAGTATGACCCTGATATTCTGAAGGCGGAAATCTCCACTACAAGATTAAGGGTAAGAATGCTTAATTTGAGATCTATGGGGAAATGTGTGTCATCTGTGGTGTTTCTTGTTAGACATTTGCCATCCAGGCACTGAAATCCCCAAGTATCCAAATGAAATGTTTGCTGGGTTTTTTGTGGCATGCACATACGAACACATATTGGGGGGGGTGGACATTGGCAGTTCTAATAATACGAATAGCACTTGGCAGTTCCAATAATATGAATTGTACTTGGTTTAGGGTATGTTCATGCTTGTTGGTGGTTTATAGAGGCGTGTTGTAACAGAAAATAAAGTTGTTGTTGTTTTTAAATGCACTACATATTGTAGCATGTGTAGATTGACTTCCAGATGGAAACTTCTTGGTTTCTGAGTTAGTGTAGTGTAGACACACACACACACACACACACACACACACACACACACAAAGTGGCCTTTGGGGATCCTCTCCCGCTTGCATGTTTACTCTCTGTTTCATTCTCTCTCTCCAAGCTATGTCAGTAGGTGCTATGTTTCTTGAATGAGAACAGGTGGCATGCGCACACATCCAGTGACAAATTAACTTAAGCAAGTAAATGTTAAATTCAACTTTAATTACTATAATGAGGCTATCCAAATAAAGAGGTGTCTTAATCTGGCATGTCTCTTGCATTAGTTGCTTGTTCAGGAACATCAAGAGGAAGATAGAATTCCTTTGTGTTCAACAAATACTAACAAGGGCTTATTTATATGTGATAGGCAAGGCTGGTAGTGTTGAAACCAGCTATGTCTGCTAGCAGGGTATCTTGAACACTGACACACATGCTGCACTCTTTTTCAGAGCAGTTAGTCCTTTTGTGAACAGTTTTTTCACACCATATTAGTAAGCATTAGCATATCCAAGAGTGGAAATTGCCTGTTACTCCTGTAGAAGCTAACAGATTTATATAGTGTGTCCAAACTAATAAGGGCTAACAAGTCTAGAGATAGGACACAACATTCAAGCATTACACACACAGACATGTGAGGCAACCCCCAGAGGTATTGTGTCATGTGGTTGTAATGTCCAGTCCCTCAGCTAACCAAGAATGAATGCCTGGGGGGGACACCAATTGCTGATCCAAACCATGTGTTCCATTGTCTTAAACAAATGGCTCACTAATTTGTTTTTCATCCAAGGTTAAAAAGCTGAAGAGGGAACTCTTGCAGATGAAGCAAGAATTACTGTATAAGGAGCAAGGCTATGAAACATTGCAACAGTGAGTATGAAATGATTGAAATTGACTTAAATAATTCAGTCCGCTGGTTAGGACCAAATCAAATAGAATCATTGCATCCGTTTACTGAGAGAAGCTTTGGAATAAGAAAACAGCTGAGATAAATCTATTGCCTACCGGCAATGGGAGAACCTAGCCACTGTTTTAAAATGTTTTTGTTTTGAAAAATTAACTTCAAAAAAGTCAGGGGGAGTGCAAAGCTGATTCAAGGCTTTAAAAAGCATCACTGAATGATTCCATCTGCCACTTGCGGGATGCAGAAGAGCAAAGAATCAGCTGGAAAAGAGAGAGAAGAGCAGCAGTGTTTCATTTTCCTGCCTCATCAGCCACTAAAGTGGGATTAGGCTTTTACTGCATCCTTACCTGTCATGGAGAAAGACATTCTGTAGTGAAGAGGTTGAAGCACAAGAAAGCTGCTGTAGGTTGAAATGCCGCAAGCTGGAAAGATCTCAGGACCTTTTTCTTTTGCATTTCTTTTGCATTTCCAAATGCAAATTCTCCCCATGCTGTGTAAAGTGTTGATGGGCATAATACAAGTATCTACAATGATACCTTGGTTCTCAAGCGTCATCCGTTCCGGAAGTCCGTTCGACTTCCGAAACGTTCAAAAACCAAGGCGCGGCTTCTGATTGGCGCAGGTGCCCCAGAAACAATAGCCGACAACCGCATCGGACATTCAGCTTCTGAAAAACATTTGAAAACTGGAACACTTCCTGGTTTTTGGCATTTGGGAGCCAATTTGTTCATCAACTAAGCCGTTCGAGAACCAAGGTACCACTTTACTTGAAGACCACCGCTCCTCTGAAAAGGAAAAAGCAGCAGTCTAAATAGGCTGCGGGGCAAAATAAAATTAATAATGATAAATAATGATAAATATAATTATAATAGGTACTAAATTTATAGGAACATAAGAAGCTGCCTTATGCTGAGTCAGACCGTTGGTCCATCTAGCTCAATATTATGCATGCTGACTAGCAGTGGTTCTTCAGGATTCGAGATGGGAAACATTCCCAGTCCAACTTGAAAATGCCAGGGATTGAAGCTGAGGCCTTCTGCACGCAAAGCAGATGTTCTACCACTGAGCTATAGACCTTCTTCAAGGAACTTAGGGTTAGAATTTACAACACACCCTTAAATGTGTTTACTTGGAATTAAGTTGAACCACTTTCTAGTAGGTATGTTTGGGATTGCAACTAATGAGGCAGAGAATTCCTAGTCTGTCTGTTGCTGAACTTTTGATTAAACTTTACAACTGGTTGAGACTTTAGATATCTTTGTGTTGTGGTAGTTAAGGTGCTAGAAAGACATACCACATTTCACCCATATGTTGGAAGACTGAATAGAATAGAAGAAAAGTTTGCACGCAATTTACAGTAGTAATACTTTTGAATACAAGTAAAAGTTGTTGGGAGGGAATGAAGAGGTACATATTTAACCATAATTTAGCTATCCCTTAAAACATAGGGGATTTTTTTTTGCGGTCGGGGGCCTATATCCAAAGCTTGGAAACTTCTGCTACTATCCCAAGATTAAAGCTTAGCCAAACATGCTGGTTTTATTACATTACTGTAACAATGAAGTATTGTTTTAAAGCAACTTGCTTGCAAGCAATTTTGATAGGAATCTAAAACATGTTTGGGAAACTTTCAGCAGCATACCACAAGCAAACAATGGACATTTGTTGGAAAAATTCAGACAGCCACTTTGGGAGGTCAGAATATCTTGTGTGCTGGAGAGCCATTTTATTCATTTTTGCCATATATGTGATGATATGGCAGCTCCAGCTTAAAATGTGAGACACCACATTCCACAGCAGCAGACATTCAGCATGCAACAAAACCACAGTCAGTTTCACTTGTTTTGGGGTTTCTTTACCATAGCTGGGTAAAGATAGTAAAATCAAAGAAGATTAGGGACTATATGTTCACTATCCATGGCAGTTATGCATGTTTAAATTGGATCCTGATGTGGTCTTTGGCTGAACTAATTGTTTAGCATTGCAAGTCTTGGGCTTGAGTGCCTTTCCTTCTGAGTGGCCACAAGGAAGGCATGGGAAGATTTCAATTCCATTTTCAACAAGCCACAGTGTGTTGGGTCTGAACTCAGAACTATGGTTAATCTAAACTGTGGTTTAGGACAGGGCTGGGAAACCTGTGGCCTTCCAGATGTTGGAACCCAACTACTACCAACCCCAGACAGCATGGAGAAGGGTCAGGGAAGATGAGAGCTGTAATCCAGCAACATCTGGAGCAGAGGCGGTTTTGTTGTTGTTTAGTCGTCTAGTCATGTCCGACTCTTCGTGACCCCATGGACCAGAGCACGCCAGGCACTCCTGTCTTCCACTGCCTCCCGCAGTTTGGTCAGACTCATGTTTGTAGCTTCGAGAACACTGTCCAACCATCTCGTCCTCTGTCATCCCCTTCTCCTTGTGCCCTCAATCTTTCCCAACATCGGGGTCTTTTCCAGGGAGTCTTCTCTTCTCATAAGGTGGCCAAAATATTGGAGCCTCAGCTTCACAATTTGTCCTTCCAGCGAGCACTCAGGGCTAATTTCCTTAAGAATGGATGCATTTGATCTTCTTGCAGTCCATGGAACTCTCAAAAGTCTCCTCCAGCACCATAATTCAAAAGCATCAATTCTTTGGCGATCAGCCTTCTTGATGGTCCAGCTCTCACTTCCATACATCACTACCGGGAAAACCATGGCTTTAACTATACGGACCTTTGTTGGCAAGGTGATGTCTCTGCTTTTTAAGATGCTGGAGGCGGTTTTAGAGTGGTGCAACTGGTGTGGCAGGACTGGGTGCTGTGCTGCAGGGGATGCCACAACAAGGCTGTAGAACAGAGTGCGAGAGGCAAGGGGTACCAAATTTTTGTGTCACACAGGGCACTGCTGAACCATGAGATCCCAAAGTCCGCCACGGACTGGAGAATCACAGGTTCCCCATCCCAACTTGATTGAAGTTGGCTTGCTTCCCATAGTTAAAACCATCCACAGTTTCGGTTTGGACTAGCTAGGAACCCCTGTGAACAGCAGAAATAAGATGTGTGTCATCTGCATATCCAACCAGAGGAAGTTATAGACTCCTCTGTCTGAGATAAATGTGTTTTTTTCTGGTTTTCTTGCTATACTTACACATATCCGGAGAGAGCGTGATTCAGCTTGCAAGAATGCACCTATGTCTTGACAACAATAACCCAAGAAGCAGCCAGTCATTATTTTGCTCTGTTTGCAGAGAGCAAATGGCTTTACCCGCAAAGTAACAATTGCTCTCCATATTGCAGTGTGGTGATAAAAGCCTCCTGTAATGATTGTCTCAGTCAAAAGAGCCTCTGGCCTTGATTGGCTAAGTGCTCTTATCCTACCTGCTAGCAAGGTAGAAGATCATGGGGGGTGAGGGCTAAAAGAATCAGAACCCTACAAAAATAACCATGGAAGAGGCACTGACTGCTGCAGGAGAATGCAAGAAGTCAAGCAAACATCTTGGAGGAAGAGGAGAACTGGCAGAGAGGAAAAGTTCATGTGGCCAAGAGCCACAGAGGCGCGAGAGAGCCTGAGTTTGCATAGTTTGCTATATCTTTGGCTGCAAGCCTCTAGTGCATTTAATGTGCTACCATGGTTGCATCTTGGCCACAATGGTTCTCATTCAAATCAATTGGAGCTTTGCCATGGATTTCTATAGGAGCCAATTGTCACTCACAGTTTGTGAACTTGTGTTCACCTTTTGGAAAACTTAGCTTCCTATAACAGATAATGTTTAATTTCCTGTGCATGTATCAAGTAGCCATCTGCCTGTCTACCTGTGTTACTAGGTCGGAGGCACTTTTCTTCCATGAATTCTAAAGCATAGCAAACTATGTGTGCAATTTTAAACTCTCTTTAACACTGGGAGCTTAATGTCAGGGTTAAGAAAACATTGCATTTTCAATGCATGCATTCTGTGTAAGATATTGTATGTGTACTTGAAGCTGAAGACTACTTCTTATCTTTGAAGTGTTGGTGCATCCTTCTGTTGGAAAACATAAATTTGTGACTGAAGTGGATAGATGAAGAAGCAGGGGCAAGGGGGAAGGAACCAAGGATTTAAAAAAATGCTGCTGCTTCTTTCTAGTTTGCTGCATCACTTCCTTTTTGTTGCTTCTGTAAGGCTGCTGTTTTCTTGGGTTTGTTGATAATGGCTTTTAAATGGTGGTTTTAATATATTTTCCGTTAGATATTTTTATTGTGTTTACCTTTTTAAGCAAACCACTTTGAGAATATTCTTGATGAATGATGGGGAGATAGCTATTGTAAATCAATAACAATCTTTTTAAAAACTCATATGGTTATATTAAATTGTTCCTCTGGAAAGTATCCAGTCTGGCTAGAAATGAATATTTAAAAATGTTTGCCTAGCACTGGGTCACCAACCTTTTTGGACAAATGGGCTCATTTTGTACTTTGAGAAAGTGCTGTGGGTGCCAGAAATCGGGTTGGCAAAAATGGAACTCCACAGCGCCACCTGGTGTCACAGTCTTAGAAAGCATAAACAACTCATATAACAATCTTTTTCTTTGCCAATGTAGCTGGGTCCTTACTATGCTATGGGAAACAATATCTTTAGAACTACCTATTCTTTCCCCTAATTTGGAGAACAATATTTGTTTCTCTACAGTTACCCCCAGTGTCTCTGTTTTACAGAATTGACCAAAAAATGTCTGGAGGCCAGAGTGGGTATGAACTAAGTGAAGCCAAAGCCATTGTGAATGAATTAAAGTCTATCCGAAAGGCTATAAGCTCTGGTGAGAAGGAGAAGCAAGATTTAATGCAGGTATTTTTGAATTTCTATCCTACAACTGTAGTGGTAAATGTTCTTGCATTTCTGTTTTTTTGTTTTTTTGTTTTGACTACTCATGGTTTTTTGTTTTCCTCTTGAAGTAGTAGCTTATTTTTGTGATATGCGTATAATGCTTTTATTCATGCAAATATGATCAACCTTCAGTTGAGTTGATTCCCTAAGTGGATATGTTTAACTGTTGCGGGAGCTCTTTATACTGTTTCTCCTTTTATGGTTTGTCTTTTCCCTGCTCCCCCATCCAATGTATTTTTGCTGTGTGTCGATCTTTTACAATAAATGAAGCATGAAAGTGCATCATTATTTGTGTTTCCTTTCAGAGTCTTGCAAAGCTGAGAGAGAGGTTCCTCCTCAATCAAAATTTTGGCAGATCAGAACCAGATTTGAGGTGCAGTCCAGCACACTCTCAGCTCTCTCTCTCAAGGCAGACTTTGGATGCAGGGTCTCAGACAGACATTTCTGGTGATGTAAGTTTTTCATGCCATTCAAAGGTGGGGAAGAGAGAAAATAGCTGCAGAACATTCTTGAGGGGATTTGAGTCAAATGCTTGGCTTCTGCTATATCTAATCAAGATGGCTAATATATTTCCCACTAAAATATTTTTTTCTGATAGTGAAACCAAGTATTGCCAGAAAGAGGCTTTTCTGTGGTACATTTAGAATTATGAAGGCTGGGTTTCAAAAGAATATTGTTAAAGTGATAGAAACTGAGTTTTGTCTTCCAATTTTGTTATTGGCTTCTGAGAAGCTGCAGGTGGGGGAAAGCATAAGAAAATACGATAAGCTAAATACTCCTGCACATGCTTTGCAGTATTTTGTCGGGGAGTAAAATTTTCTAACTAAATATTTAGAATATAGCACGTCTTGTATCAAAAGAGTACCATCATCCATTTGGAGGAAATATATTTCAAATTCCTTTAGTAAAAGTAATATTTTTTCTGACATTGAAACCGGTTTCTTATGCAAGCCATTTCAAAAGTAAAAAGCATGGGAATTAGCTGGTTTACACATCACATTAAACCATAGGTAAGATAAACTGGTTTAATGTGAATGAGCAGCATGCTGGGCTGCTGCTGCCCCATTTCTGCTGCTACCAGGGTACAAGCCATGGGCTGCTTCGTTCTAGCTTCCAGATCTGATGGTAAGTCAAGGTTTGTTTGAGAAAGAAACCACCAGCCTGGGTTCAGATGAGAAAAACCAGACCATGGTTTGTTTCCCAGCAGTGTGGCAGCAACAGAAGTGAGGAAGGGGTGAAGTACAGTGGTACCTTGGTTCCCGAAGGGCTTAGTTGTTGAACAAATCGGTTCCTGAACGCTGCAAACCCGGAAGTAAATGTTCCGGTTTGTGAACGTTTTTCGGAAGCTGAGCAGCTGACGCAGCTTCCAACTGAGTGCAGGAAGCTCCTGTTGCCAATCAGAAGCTGCACCTTGGTTTGTGAACATTTATGGGAAGCCGAATGTCCAATGCAGATTCCACTTGACTGCAGGAAGTTCCTGTAGCCAATCGAAAACTGCACCTTGGTTCTCGAACAGTTTCAGGAGTTGAATGGACTCCCGGAACAGATTAAGTTTGAGAACCAAGGTACTATTGTACCCATAATTTCATCAGCTTGCAGTAGCATACTGTCCATTCACATTATACCATTGTTTATCTAGACATATGAACCCAGCCAGTAAGCAGTCATTTGTAAAATGTACCTTTCAAAATAAAAAAATATAACTTAAATTATCCCATATTTCTTGAATTTAAGTGGTCCGTATTAGTTTTTCTCAAAAAGAAAATAAGTATATAAGTAAATAAATATAAGTAGGTGATAAAATAAAGTTGACACCTTTCTAGCTTCAAAAACTGGTGAGCAAAGATCTCTTCCAATCTCTGTTTTTGTACATCTAAAAGTGACTGATGGAATTACCACTTTAGTGACTTAAAAATCTTTGGCATCTCATTGACCCATATGTCAGCCATAGGTTTACATCCACAAATGTTTTCCAAATGCTGGCATATTTCTTTAAGGTAGCACGATGAAAGGCTGTGAAAGTGATTGTACTAAGATTTTCTGAGAAGAAGCCCAAACTTGAATGTGGTTTTTAGTAATCTTGATTTCATTGAAGTCCTACTTTGAACTTCATTGATCTCCACCAAAGTTCTGAGTTCAAAGTAGCAAGTAACAACTTGGGATGTATTAAACGTTACTTCAAAGTAGGCCTTAAACAGAATTGTACTGACTTGTACTAAATTCTGTCCAGAAATGATTTAGCAATTGAGAATGTAAATTCCTTAGAAAAACATTGAGTAATTATGAGTGTTTGTGCTGAAAAATCAATGGTTACTATTTTGAAATGTGTTTCTACTTATATTTCATTAAATTGCTTTCTCTCTTCATTTAAAAATGATCCATGCAATAAGCTTGCTGGTTCTTTCAACAGGTTGGTGTCAGGACTATGTCCAATTTAGCTGAAAAGGTCAGACTAAGTCTTAAGTACGAAGAAGCCAAAAGAAGGTAATGACTGGATTCTTTTCTTTTTAAAAATGTGAATTTGTATCAGAGTTCATGAACCTTGTAGCCAATCTAATGCTTGCAGTGACATCTACTGGATGCATCTTCATGAAACATTGCTTATCAGTATCATTTATTTCTATTCTTTCTAGGCTGATTGTACCTTATGTATTGGGCTATTAGTAGATGCTGTGATGTACACTTACACAGATTTATGAAATATGAAAGTACCAGAAACAAAATAATTCTTCTACTGCTTATAAGCAGCAGAAATTTGACCTAATTGAAGTGCATGTTCAGGAGAAGAGAACGTTTATTGCAAGTTCTGTTCCACTTCCTGGCTTGTATACTCGTATTATACTTCATTAATGACTGTAAGGATAGGAGATTTTCATGCACAAAAAACATAATTTGTATAATTAGTGCCCATGAGATCAGAGCCTTGATGGCTGTGCTTTGGGACGTTCTCAGACCGATCCACATATTTTAAATGAAGATTAAATTATTTCAAAAATATGTGTACTGAAATACCTTGATGGAAGGTACAAAGTGGGTCCACATACGTGTAGAACAGGAGGATCAATTCAAAGGTAGCTGGAGAATGAATGGAGAATTAGGTATCCATGTCTAGTGAGCATTTGACTTCTTTTTGTGGTTGGAGGGGCAAGCAGGGATTAATTATCAACAACTTCCCAAACTACAAAAGAAGTATTCAGTTTAAGCTAGGGTGTCTGGAAACTGCCATTTAAATGAAAAGATAGCAAAGGCCTTACTGAACACATCATAACACTTCAGTGTATTTGAAGGACTTCTCAGTATTGATAGCCTATATGGACACAATCCAATTTCATGTTTCTTTAACAGAGCCAGCCCTACTAATATGCAGAGTGAGGCAATCACATCAGGTGGCAAACGCTTAGGGTAGCAATGGCTGCCGTACGCTATTCCCTACTATTGGAGATTAGAGCTATGTGTTATCCCTAAATTAACCTGCTGCCCATTGAAGGGTGCTGTTCCATTGCCAGTGTCAAACTAAGATTTAGTTGCCAGTCCAGTCAGCTTCTGTACATGAAATGGAGGGAGGCACCATCTTGCCCTTTGATTCAGGTTGCAAAATGTCTTTGGCTGGCCCTGTTGTTCGATACCAGTCATTTGATAGCTATGCAGCATAGTAAAGGACATTCTTCCTGCCCACACCATAAGTGACAAGAGATCCAATCAAGCACATCTTCCTCACTGAGTTGAAAGCCACAGATAGCTGCTCCCTGTTGCTCTAATTGCTGGTGGGTGCATGGCTAAGTTAAAGTCTGTAGCACAGAACAAAAATGTTTTGTGCGTGCTTCCAGATCAAAAGCAGCTTAAGTATGAGTAAGGCAGAGAAAACAAAAGGCATGGGAAAGAGAACTGTATTTGATAAGGGTTAAGGTCAGGGAAGGAATACAAGTTTAAAGAATGAGCAGAAAAATTCAGGTTGTGTTGGTCCAAGAAAGTATTCGCAGGTGGAATTTGGTGAGAGATTTGGAGGTAGTGTTGAGGCCAGGGCCCAGTTATAGTGTGCAGTATTGTAGATGGTGTGTTTTCAATTAGCCATCCTCCTCCCTCCCTCATCATTTTAACAAGTTTGAAGAATAGTTCCTGAAACTCTTTGAGGGGCCTCAAACAAACTCTTCAACATATACAAGGGAAATGGTATTGGATTGATTTAAAACATAAAAACCTGCCTTAAAAATGAAACTTGGTATTGACAAACAGTGCCAGTCAAGAGGCCAGAGACCTCTTCAGATAGCAAGTACAGTATTAGATGTGGATATTGCAGTGTGTATAAATTGACTTTGCACTGTTAAAGAGATGTTCGCTCAAAGGTTGAAAGGGCATTTTAGTGTTCATGTCCTTGTTATCCTGGGCCCCTTTTATGAGACAGCTAACAAGGGTGCCAATTACAATAGCGGATAACTGTCAGCATTGCAGTGAAGAAAAAAGCCCCTGTGAGACTGCCACCTCATCTTGTAAGTCATTGAACAGCTGTCAAAAGCAGCTACTTTAAGATAATACGAAGGTTGGCTAGATTTGAACCAGTGACCCAGAGAATAAAGCTGCTGCATTCCATTATCAATCTTGGGCTGTCAGGCAGGCTTCTCTTCAAAATGTCCCATATACATATTCCATGTGGATTTCTTAAACAAAATAATTATCATCCACCTGAATAATCTTTTGAATCAAATTATCATCTTCCAAAATCAAAATAATTTTTGGAGGAAAATGAATTTAATCACTGACTTCATACTCCAAATGATGATCTACTAATTTAAAAAAAGAAATTAAAATACAAATGATTATAACCTGAATTCTATACAGTTTTTAAAGCTGAAGTTTAGATAGAGTGCACGAAATCTCAACAATCTTAAGGCTAATCAAAGGTATTTATAAAGCAGTTTCCTGCTCGGTTTGTGTTTGTGGTCCAAGAGAAGGAGGCTGTTTCTTGTATCATGTCTGTTCTAGCTTGTATTTTCTCTGGTTAATCAAACTAATGCTATGCCCATTAAAATGGTTGCTAGTTTTTTTAGTGTGTTGCGGAAATGGTTTATAAACCTGTAATGTTTGTTATCGGAGCTTAAATACAGAGGTTTTGTATTTGCTGGCTAATGTATGATTTCTGGAGACTGCTGAGATGCCTCTCTATTAATTTTACCCAAGGTAGAGTAAGGCATAAAATAAATAATTATAAAATGTTACAAAACAAAAATAAAATAATTGCTTAGTACAAATCTCTCATAATAGCTGCTTAAAATCAGTATAATTAAAACCAAAACTATCAGTAATCCTGAATGGAGCCTATGTACATGAAAGAACAGGGAAAGACTTTAAGTAAAGGGAGATTGTTACCTGCTGGAGAGAGCTGGTAAGGTGGATCTATTTTGAGAGCAAATTTCATGAAATGAAATGAGTGCTACAGCTGAAAGATTTGCAAGCAGCAGCTTTTACATTGGGATAATGGGAGGAAAGTTCCTTCTCAAAATTAGCTGTTTCTAAAAAAAATTACAAACAGAATTGATTTGACTCACTGTGTGATAAACCCAACTATCAGATGACTAATGGGACAGGCAGTCTAAAACTACCCCTAGGATGAGAAATGCCAGTACTTAAGATACCATATGCTGACTGTTTAAGCCAGTGTTTTATTACACATTGTTAAAGCACAAAGCAAACATTGTCTGTCTGTCCTTTTGTGTGGTGACATTGCAAGATAACGCCATTACCCTCCTCCCAGCTATTGACTGGGATGACAGAGGGCCAAATGGGATCAAACAGATCCACTTGGTCTCCTACATAGGATGGGAAATGGGAGTTTTATAAGCAAGCTTTGCCTCCCTAGCCACTCATATGTCTGCCCTCCCTCTGACACAACTAGCCATTCATTCACATGAGGGCATAACATTTGATCAGGGTCTATGTCCATAGACTTGCTCATATTGCACGGCCGACTTTCCAAATGAAACTTAGGATTTTAACAGTGCTTTTTTTCTGGGGGTACGCAGGGGTACTCATACCCCTAAACACTTTGTGAATCAATGTTTGGTCTCATTGAGGAGCAGTATTTCAATATGAGTAGGGAAATGAGAGTACCCCTCAACATATTTTTTTAGGGGGAAAGCACTGGATTTTAACATAGATTTTGTTAGATTTTACATGAGTCGTTCCTGCTCTAATATTAGGTCCCGGTCTGGGCAGCTAATAGCATTGGCTGTTTGCTTCTGCTCTCCACCACACATAGATCTGTTTCATACAATCTAGCCCAAGATCATCCTCCTCTAAAAAGCATCATGGCATACATTTGCTGCTAAGGCTTCTTAGTTCAGTAGGTTTGATTATTCTGCCCTGATAGTTGCATCCCATTGACTTGCCAAGTCTAAATATGTTCCTGTTCTACCAGGTGTTGTTTTTCACTCTTAGGGGCCTGTTGCTCATCTGCACTTTCTTTTTCTTCCTTCCTTAATGTGTGTGTGTGTGGGGTTTTATGCATATATGATTAGAATGGCAAACTTAAAGATTGAACTGTCCAAGTTAGAAAGTGAAGCTTGGCCTGGGGCACTGGATATTGAGAAAGAAAAGCTGATGCTGATTAATGAAAAGGAAGAGCTTCTGAAAGAACTTCAGTTTGTCACCCCATGTAAACGCACTCAAGATGAATTGGAGCATCTGGAAACAGAAAGGAAAAGGCTGGAAGAGGAGCTGTCTGTGAAAAGCGCACCTAGTGACGAACTTACAGAGAGGTAAGATTTCCTTCTTTTCATCCCCCCCTCCTTCCTCCTAACATTAAGTTCCGCTTTCTTCAGTTTAACCTTTATACTCATTTTAGAGTCAGAGCTGCGCCCTGATGGGCCATTTTCCTTCAGTAGCTGTTCTGTGTAGATTTTAATTAAATTTATTATTAGTCCACCAGGCAGTAACACGAGGAGACCTTCAAACCGTGATAGAACTCACGGAGTTCCTATTATTCCACGCTCTATGTTTTGCATTTGTGACCAGCATGAGAAAACCTAGACCTGATGTTAAATAGTCGAAGGAAGTCAGCAGAGTGCAATTCATCATTGGCAGGTTTTGTGATAATAGCCATGACCTGTGTGAACTCCTCACAGCAAATGTTGTCCTGATTGCTTCAGCACTGGAACCTCTTACACTTGATAGAGATACTAATTCACACATGTGCTTGCATGAGAAAATGAATGAATAAATGTCTTGCTTTAAGTTCAAAAGGGGAGACATACAACTGCCGGGGTCTGTTCGTTTCCACTGCAAGCCATGGCATGGCTTATCAGCTTTCTGAACTTGGCAAGCACTTAATGAATGATGGGGGGAATACCGTAATAGTTTCTGCCAATAGGATTCATATGAGAATTTCAGCCTAATTTTATTTGTGATGTCTAGCAAAGAATTTTAAGTATACAGGGTACTGGTAGATAGAATCATAGAATTGTAGGGTTGGAAGGGACCACGAGGGTCATCTAGTCCAACCCTCCTGCAAAGCAGGAATGTTTTGATGTTAGGTGTGTACAAAATGTCTCTCCTTAGCTGCTGTCACAGTGATAAATATAATAAGGGACCTTTCTTCCCAGTAATCAGTGCTATTGCCATACAAGTAAAAAGTCTAGGGATTTTGACCCTCTCCGGTTTAATGGAGTCCTGAGTCTGGGTTCATCCACACTTCTGTTAGGTCTGCAATTTCTTTCCTTTGTCCTGTGACTTCTAGGCACTGGTCTGTGAGGTTTTCCTTGGTCCCACTGCTTTCCCCGGGAAAACCTGTGGTTTAGCACTGAATCGAAACAAACATCCATTCACCCGATTGACATTTGTTACAGTTCAGTGTTAAAATGTAAGTTTTCCCAGGGAAAGCTGCAGGAGAAAGGAAAAACCTACTGGACCCATGCCTAGAAGTCAAAGGACAAACAGAATAAATCACAGACCCTACAGATGTGTAGATGAGCCCTTAGTGGAAGGGCTATTGGAGATTTTTTTGTTGATTCCTTCATTCCTTGCTCAAGAGGGTTAGAGAACCCTTTGGAACACTGTGATAGGTGACTGGAAAATATGGGAGAAGAAGGGAATAACCTCTTCTCCCCTTTCAGTTTACAGAAGCCTCTACTAGATCAAAGAGCCTTCCGTCAACAGAAGGACACAATTGGGAACAACCCTGTGTCCAGTCGTGGGTGGGATGGGGCAGATTTGCTTCCCTGACTTCCAAATGCAAAAGCCATTGCTGGTAACCGAGACTGATCTGCACAACGTTTGGGTTTGAGGAATTGTTTGTTGTGTTGCATCAGAGAGATAGAAAAGAGATGTTGCTACTGCACTGTTCACCCTGCTGTTCTGCAACCTGCCTGACCAAGCTGGTGTCTTGGATGTGGTGTTGGAGAACCCTCACTCAGTGGTCTTGGGGGGACTTCGGTATCCATGCTGAGGTTGCCTTAAATGGGCTGGCTTAAGACTTCATGACTCCATGACAACCATGGGGATGTCTCAGTACAGTACATCAATGGTCCAACACATGTAGCAAGGCATACCTTTCACCTGGTTTTCACCTCAGAGCTTATTGGTAATACTTGGTTGATAGGTGGGGTCACCGTGAGTCTGTTGTCATGCACAGACCATTCCCTGGTGAGGTTTGAGCTGAGCAGCTACCCACTCTCCAAGGGTGGGCAACCCATCAACATGGTCCATCCTCAGAGACTGATGGAATCTGCTGGGTTCCTGAATGCTCATGTGAATTTCCCTAGGGCCATATTGGAGGCTGCGATTGGCAGGGGGCAGCTCTTGGTAAATTCTCTGCCCTCAGAGGCTCAGGGGGTGGTGTCATAGAAGAGGACATTTTCTGTGACCGCCCCTATGCTGTGAACTTCCTCACAGAGGTGCTTCTGGTACCTTCATAAAGCTTCCTGCGAATGCTTGTTTAAAACGCTTGAGGTATATATATTTTAGGACCCACCTTATTTGTGTGATTCTAAGTTGTTTTAAACTGTTGTTAATATTGTGTCTTAATGTAACACACCCTGAGACGGGTGCTTAATAATATTTATAATAATAATCGTAACCATCACATCAATAATTGAGTAGTCTTAAGTTCAGTGACAGAAAGGGAAGGCCCAGTTTTAAGGAGGTATATGCTAACTATGTAAACCAGTGTTTTGTACATATCAAGCACAAAGTGAAAATTGTCTAGCTTAGCTTTTGTCTGTCACTGAATTTAAGAGTATTAATTAATAAGCTAGCTTGGATTTGCCAGGGAAAAGCTACTATGAGCCTCCTTTATAGGACTCTGCTGCCAAGGATGCAACCATTAAGAATGTTCAGAAAAATCCTTGTTAACCTCAAAGGAAAGAGGATTGAGTGAGCCCTCAATCATTGTTGAAAACCAAGGGGAAAACCAAGGGGAAAACAGCAATTCTGTTTTTCACCAGACTTAAGCAAAGGATCTATTGTACCTTTTTTGCTAGAGCTTTTTGATTTTTTTATGCCTAAAGGTTCTGGTATATTCAAGCATCTACAGATACAAATGAACATATTCTTTCCCTTATGAAAATATATTTTAATAGGTGTGTGACTTTCTGCCCCCAAGTGTGTGTATCTACATTTATGGGGATGTTTTAATTTAATGCTTTTCAAATCCAAGCCCTTTGTCTGCCTGGCGTAGTTCTGCCTATGGCAAGGTATTATCCTAGCCACGGAGGAACAGAAAGCCTAGTAAATACTATTAGGTTTTCTACAAGTTTTCTCTGCATTTTGAAAGGTCTTGATGAGGTGTCCGATGCACCATCTTGTCTAATTTGGGGGATCAGTTTCAGCATTTGAGGTCCAAGGATGTGAACAAAGTGTTTGTAGCTGTTCCGCTGAGCTTTTGACCCTGGCGTGACATGCCTAATTCAAGCTATCCAGTAGGCGCTGATGAGGGGGTCCAAGGTGTGGTGAGATTATTGTGGGAGGAGGCACTGTCTGCCACCTTGAAAGAGATGATGATGCATTCCCACTCTGGATCCTGAGGTATTAGAAACCTACTGCCTGATCACAAATGCCCCTTTCCTGAACTAGGTGCTGGAGAGAGGAGTGGCAGCCTAGTTCCAAGCATACTTGGAGAAAAGCGATTATCTAGACCCATTTCAGTCTGAGTTCATTCCTGGGTTTAGAAACTTAATCATCCTTGGTTGCCCTAATGGTTTTGCTATATCTCTGAGCAGCTTTTGATAACATTAGGTAAAGGTAAAGGGACACCTGACCATTAGGTCCAGTCGTGACCGACTCTGGGGTTGCAGCGCTCATCTCACTTTATTGGCCGAGGGAGCTGGCGTATAGCTTCCGGGTCATGTGGCTAGCATGACTAAGCGAACCAGAGCAGCACACGGAAACGCTGTTTACCTTCCCGCCAGAGTGGTACCTATTTATCTACTTGCACTTTGACATGCTTTTGAACTGCTAGGTGGGCAGGAGCAGGGACCGAGCAATGGGAGCTCACCCCATCACAGGATTCGAACCGCCGACCTTCTGATCGGCAAGCCCTAGGCTCTGTGGTTTAACCCACAGCGCCACCCGCATCCCATTGATAACATTAATCATCAGATTAATCTGGACCAGCTGTGTAAGATGGGAGTTAGAGCTCCTGTTTTGCAATGATTCTTCTTTTACCTGCGCAGCTGGTGACAGAAAGTTGCATTCAGTGACTCTACCTCATCTCCTTGGCAATTATGCATGTGGTATCTCAGGAAAGCATCTTGTTCCCAATGCTATTTAACATCTGTATGAAGCTTTTGGGTTCATTCATAAGAGGATTTGCAGTGCACTGTCATCAGCTCTGCTTCCCTGTTACATCTGAATCAGGTGGGCTATGGAAGTGCTGAATTGGCGCCTGGATTTGATCATGAGCCCAATGAGGGCCAGAAAGTTGGATTGGAATCCTGACAACGGGGGTAGGCTTGTGGGTGACTAGTTCCCGAGTCTGGGACTCAGACAGTATGCCTTTTCTGCATGGGTTTTTGCTGCCTTCAAAGCAGGTGTGTAGCTTTGCACTGCTCCTTGATCCATCTTTGTCACTGTAAGACTGTGACTGTAAAGGTTAGGAGTTGTCTTTTACCAGCCTTAACTGACAGTTCCTATTGCAATCATTCATGGACAGGGGTAGCCTTGCCACTGTGACTCATGTATTAGTAACTTTATGATTGGACAGCCATAATGCACTACCCTTAAGCCAAGTCGAGAAACTGTGGCTAGTGCAAAATGCAGCAGGGATAGTTTTCAAAAATATTTCATAATTCCACTAAACTAGTTTAAAGTATCTGAGACCTGTGAAGTAATGCCACTGCTTGCTTTCCCTTCAACCGAAAGCAAATCTGAAGATGCCCAGTTCTCATGCCCTGATAAATTTCTTCTACCACCTCTGGCACAAGTCTTGAAAGAGAGCCAAACTCCAGACTTCTGAGATGAAGTTATGCATATACTAGACCTTGCTTGCCAGCAGTGTGTGTTTGATTTTTCTAAATTTCCTGAAATAGCTTCTCTATTAACTGGCCAGTAATTTAAACACAGTTCCAAAAATATTTGAATTGGATACTTTACATTTAGTGCAATGTGTTTGAGTGGGCCAACCTATTAAAAAGAAAATTTTAAATCAAAGTATTAATATATGAATGAGTGTTACCACACTCTCAGGAACACGAATGTTCTTTCAGCCTATAAAATGAAAAATTCATCCTTTTCAGACATAGAAAGTGTTATGAGCAGAACTGAGGAAGCAATCGCTTATTTTTATTTGCTTGCAGCTTCCTAAGAAATGTTAGCTGCCTTGTTAAAACCATTACAATTATAAAGCAGGTGTCTCCAGACAAATAAAGAAAGCAGCATCCAGCTCCTACTGCCCTTAAAATCTATTTATTCAAGGAACTGAGGAGGACCGTATCCAAATGGCAGAGCAGGAACTTCCAAGCTAACAAGCCCCTCTAACTTCTGGTGTTTTTCTAAGTTTATTATATTTAACAAAATAATTCCTGTTCCTCTTGATTGTAATAAAACTTCTGAGTGGTTTACAAGAAAGTTAAGGCTGTTTTAAATGGTCTTATTTCTTCAAGGGCTTGGGTGCACCAAATTTAAAAGGCAAAGCAGAAAACTCATAATTAGTAAAATGCAGCCGAACAACTCTTTTCTATGCTGTAGGGATTCGTACCACCAGAACCCTTGTCAAAAACAGACTGCATATGCAAACTGGAACTTCCAAACCACCAAACACTCTGTTTAAGTCTCCCCGAGGACAATTGCTCTAGTTCAAAGATCATTTATATGGTTTTTTTATATTGTAGAATAAGAAGCAAACCTTTAATCTATTAAACATTGCTTGATATAAGGGCCAAAGACACCGGGAGGTCTGCGGTTTGATCCCTGTTTCTTTCTCCTTAATACAACTGTGAAGAAGGGAGGACCATTAATTGGATCAGGAAAGTGATGGGGATGGGGAGGCGGGTTTGACACTTTCCATTTGTACTGATTTCCCCTCCAGGCACTAGGGGAGGGAGGTGCCTAATATGTCCCCCTATGGATCAAACAGCACCTGGAGGATGTATTTTGTATTGGGGAAATAGTCCAACAAAACGGATTAAGCGTCTCTACCCACCACTCTTCTTGTCTAATCAAATTAGTGCAGCCCCTTCCTCCAAAGATGTATTGGGGAAAGCATGAGAGAAGGAGGGAGATAGGAAGGTGAGTTTTAGATCTCCCTGTGTCATGGGCATTTTGCCCAATAAGACATTGTGGGTATACTATAGTGCCTACCTGGATGATATTCATGTTTGCAGCAGAAAATGGACATTATCCAGAGGACAGAAGCAAGGAAACACATAAACCTAGTATTTTGATCAATTTTCAAAGCTATCCACTGAAACATTCCCTTTTGTCATTTGTCGGCCTCCTCTAATGGACCATTTAGAGCATTATGCTGAACAGAAATAGACTTCAACCTGTATTTAAATGCTGCACTTAAAAAGAGGGCCTCCCTTAAGATGTCTGCATCACAAAGAAAAACCCCAGTGCTAAGCTTCCCCCCACCCTTGTATGTATTTTGCATGCAGAGCAGTATCTTTGATGGGGGTCTATGCATCTGAAACCTTGTCTTCTACCTGACATTTCAGAGAGGAGACTCCCAAAGGAAAGGTTTCTAAAACAAGTTTAAAACTTTTCAGGTGAAAGGGGAATAGTGTAATTTTTATTCAGAATATCTTAATATTCCAAGGCAAAGGAGCAGCTAAAAAAAGAATAGAGTGGTTTGGATAGATTTGGAAACTGTTAAACAGCACTGGGGAAAAGAAATAATTTAATATGACATGTGGAATTTATATAAGAACACCATTAAAAACAGGGCTGTGAAACCTTTAGCCTAGATTTCATCAGGCTTCAAAAACATGGATGCTAAGTGATAGGATTCCTTTAGAAGTACATTTGGCAAAAATACTGCAGCAATCCTACGTTGATAAATAAACATCTTACCCCATATTTAACATTTATATGAATCTTTTAGATATGCATGGGAATGTTTGGATAACAAACTGAATGTGCAGTGAATCAGAATTTGGATCATGGTTTTGGCAGCAAGTATCATCTGAATCTTTATGAGGCAGCATAAGGTCCAAAGCATTTTCTTAAACATCAATGAATGTTATTTGAATGTTTGTGCTTTTTACAGTCTCCACAGTTCTTGTACTCTTCAAAGTAGTGAAAATGTATGGCAGTTGTTTTCTTCATTCGTTGTTGGTTTTATGTTTCAGAGCAACAAAATGCTCAAGAAACAGTATAAAAGCCAAAATAGATGCATTTCATTTGGTCTTTATTTTCTCTTCATGCCTTTCTTCCACAACCATTTTCTTTGTTCAGGTCTCTTTCGCTATTGGTATAATCTTTTTTTTCTGAACCAGTGAGAGCAGGATGGGAGGTAAACTGACTCTTTTGGTAGGAAAGCGCTGTAGTTCAGCCTTATGTTAAAACAACGGAACTGCACAGAGATTCTGTGACAGAAATTCTGTAATTGGAATGATTTACACATGTTTAAACAACTTTACATTAATTTTACTTAATCTAGACTTACACGTTGCACATGATTCTGTTGGATCATTTTTGAAAAAAAGCATTTCTGAAGAACAACCGTGCGGGAGGGTGAAAATTGCCCTGAAACTCCTTGTAGCAGGGGCAGCCGATCTCTTCTGCCAGGGGCAGCCGACTCTATAAATACACCTTTGGGCTGGAACATTGGGTGCTGCTTCCAGGGGGTGTGTAAAAGCATGCGCTTCCTTCCACACAGCCTTTCTCTTGGGGCCATCCAGCAGGCACAGAGGCAAAGAAGCCCAGTCTGTCTGTGCTGCTCCTGGTCAGCTCTAGGTTGGAGAGGGGTGGCAAAGGTACTTCCTTTGGCCTTTAATTTCATGCTGCGTTTCAAAGGTGCAGCATGAGGTCAAGGAAGAGACCGCACACTTGGAGCAGGACACACCCATGTCCTGGTGACCACAAACAAGAGAGAGAGGGGAGGGCAGGGGAGGCTCTAATCCATGTGTGACTCCAGCCCCAATTAACTTTTCCCGTGGGTCAGTGGCCCTCCGTTAAAAAAGCTTCCATATGCATCAGTTTCAGTTTACTAACTACCCTGGGGTCCCACAACCCTGGAGGCCCCAACACATTAAAACAGTCATCGGATGCTGAAGAAGAAGCCATTGTGGAATGTGCTTAGTTGCTCAGTGGAACATATGGAGCCACAATTGCCTAATATGTATAGCGTGGCTATTAATAAAATTTTACATCATGAAATACTGCATTCAAAATATTTTTTGTTATGTCAGTATTCCATATACTTAAATGCCCCTGGACCCAGGTTATCAGTTTTGTTCCTGCCTATTTTTAATGTTCATTTTTGAAAATGGTTTTGAGTTTCCTTTTCTGAAAAAAATGGCTAATAAATATAAATAATAAATAATATCGCCTTGCAGCCCTGCTGATTAAGTTGTTCTATTCCTTGTTTTTATTGAACACTACTCTCTGTCCACCTCTGGCTATTCAGGCTGCAGTGCAACACAAAAAATGAAGTCAGTGGGATTTGAGCAGCTTAACGGAACAAGATTATAGCCTTTATCAGGGGCATATCACAATTATTTGGGCCAGAAACATTTTTTTAAAAAAGGAAACCAGTTGCTTTAAGGTACTGTGTAATATACACAGAAAATAGAAAAGGCATGGGCCATAGATCCTCATTAGTGCAAGGTTGCTATTAAACAAATGTTCAACAGCTGGCCATAAGAATGACATTGCTATGTAAACTTTAAAAAAAATTCTAATTAACAGATACTGTTCAATCAGTTATTATTTGTGCACACATTATCTGCCAATGCAAAGCTGTTTTACAGTTCCTTCAGTTGCTGTCACTTTGACCAGCAAGGAGAAGATTAGAGTTCTATGGGAACTTTGTCTGCTGTTTAAACTACAGTGGTACCTCGGGTTGCATACGGTTCAGGTTACATACGCTTTAGGTTTCAGACTCCGCTAACCCAGAAATAGTACCTCGGGTTAAGAACTTTGCTTCAGGATGAGAACAGAAATTGCGTGGCGGCAGCATGGCGGCAGCAGGAGGCCCCATTAGCTAAAGTGGTACCTCAGGTTAAGAACAGTTTCAGGTTAAGAACGGACCTCCAGAACGAATTAAGTACTTAACCCAAGGTACCACTTTATTTAAATACAAGGTGGCAGTGAAGCAAGAGTTTTTAGGATTGTATTTTATGTGCTTGAATAATGATGTCGAAAGAGTTCTTAAGTATAATTATGGTTCTTGTATCTTCTAGGTTAAAACTGGAAGAACGAAGGAATAAATTAGTAAAAAAACTTGAAGAAACTAGTCAACTAACTACTAACTTGCATTTGCAACTTAAAAGGTAAGGTTGCTCTGTTTACACTGTTGTTTGTCCAACAGAGGTTTGTCCAACAGAGCTCAGAAAATGTCTACTTTGAAATAGTACTAGTTTGTTTTGGGTGGAATTTTGTTAACTTGGAAACTACTTTTATGCCCCACAAAAATTTAATGTACCTCCTAATAAATATTTGGCTCCCCACAGCCTGTGTCCCAGACCACAGACTCCGCAGAGCAGAAGCAACTTCTATATGAAACAGCTGTTACAGCTGTCAACACACGTCTTCTCCAAGGCATTGCAGCTGCATGAGAGTGGGCAGAGGGAAAGGAGAAAACAGATTAGCAGACACATTTTAGCTGAACAAGGTCTTGTGCATGCAGAGGTGATCACAGTGGAAATTTAAAAAAGGTCCTGATAATTTCTGTTATGTGTACATGTTCCATGTCACCTACCTACCTACCAAGGGGGAACAACGGAGTGTCCCAAATAGTGAAAAAAGAACTGATAAGGGAAGCTGTCACATAAATTGTGAACAAATTGATATCCTGTGAAAGTATGACCATTCTTGGACACAAAACCTCAAAAAATGAGCTTAAACACTAAAATTACGCTATAATTGGTACATCCTCATATTGTTACCAATATGATGCATAGTTAATTAACTGTCCTCCAAAAACTGTTATCAGTCTAATAGGCTCTACCCCCCAAAATTGTAACATTTGTCCTTTTTTCAGATGTCATTGCACTTGACACCTTTACGACCTGACTGGACTATATATTCATACTTTATCCTTTATTGCGGGCTGAGACTAATTGGACACATTGTAGTTTCAAATGAACGCTCAATCTTTTTCTTCCTTTTTTTGCAGTCTTTCAGCCAGTACGTTATCTATGTCTTCAGGGAGCAGCCTGGGGTCCCTGGCATCCAGTCGTGGGTCTCTGAATACGTCCAGCAGGGGGTCGCTGAATTCCCTTAGCTCTACAGATCTGTATTATAACCAAGGTGAACAACCTACAGATTTAGACTATCAGTATAAACTGGACTTCATATTGCAAGAGAAATGTGGTTACATTCCTTCGGGTCCTATTACCACAATTCATGAAAATGAGGTGGTCAATTCCCATGGGAGAATGGACTACAGCGATTCTTCCAGCTCTCTGGCAGCAAGCCATGCACCAAAATTAACTGAACCTCCAAAATCTGTGACATCGCTGTCTTCAAGATCTTCCCTTTCCTCTTTGTCCCCTCCTGGATCACCTTTGGTTTTAGAAGGTGCATTCCCAGTGCCTCCTCAAGACTCTCCATTGCACCATCTCGCCACGGACTTTGAGGACTGTGATTTACCCAGTGACTTTGCAGGCATTAGCCTCTGTGGGAACCAAATGTTGTTGAACTCTGAAGCCAGAGCATCTTCTCAGTCATCAGTGGATGATAAAGACCTCCATGAAAGTGTTAGGCAAACCATGTCGCCTTCAAGAAATACAGGTAAAAAAGAAGGGTCAGGCCTACCTGTAACATATGGGTATATCTTGCTATTTGTACTCACAAATGTCCATTCTCCCCCCCCCTCTGGATAATTTTTAGTACTTAAATCCTGGAAATGAAACACACACACACACACGTTAAGAGCAACAAGCTGTCTTTTAACTCGGGGTGTCACACTTAGCATGGGACTGTAGGCAGCTGAGCATAGACAGGAATTATGAGTTCTGGCAAGATGTGAGGTAGAGTTGGAATGCAATGCTGGGGCAGATCCCATAAGGGCAACTGGGCAGAATGTGAGAAGTAGGGATGCATAACAAAGCTCAAGAAAATGGATGGCAGGGTATATCGTAGGCCAGGAAAAAGCTAGAACAAGAGTGCAGGGTAGAAGTAAATTGAGAGACAACCAGATAGATGGGCAGTGGATGACTGGAAAAGTAGCAGGCAGAAAAGGAGACCACAGGACAGGCTGACTACCAGAATAATCTATAAAGAAGTACACAACTAATTACTTGGAGTTGCAGGTGAGCAGTGAGGTAGCCACCTTTGCTATTGACAAGAAGTTGTTCAGGGTGGTAAGAAAAAAAAGGGATTGCATGGAGCTCCAAAAGGATCTCTCTAAACTGAATGAAGGGGCATTAAGATGGAAACAAGTCTAAAGTAATGCACACTGGGGCAAAAAATCCTCACTTATATACACTCTGAACTAGTGGTGATTGACCAGCAAAGAAATGCTTGTGGGACATTGCTCAATGAAAATGACCCAGTGTGAAATGACTGTGAAAAAGGCAAATTCCATATTAGGGATCATTAGGAAAGCAACTGAAAATAAATCTGCCAATACCATCATGCCATTATACAAATCTATGGTGTGATGGCACTTGCAGTATTGTGTACTATTCTTGTCATTGCCCCTTCAAAAAAAGGATATTGCAGAACTGGGAAATTAATAAATGGCAACCAAAACGATATTGAGGCTAGAGCGACTCCTCATTAAGAAAGTTTGCAATATAGCTTTTTTAGTGTAGGGAAAAGAAGGCAAGTAAAGGATGATGGGATAAAGGTATAGAATTACGCATGAGGTGGGGAAGTGGATAAAGAGTTTTTCTCCCTTAATACTAGACCTGGTGTCATCCAGGGAAGATGAATGTTGGAAGACTTGGAACAGTTAAATGATTGAATATTGCTACCACAGTATGCCGTGATGGTGACCAACCTGGTGGATAGGGATTGATAAATAAGATAAGGCTATGAATGGTGACTGTCCATGGTGGCTTTGTTACTAGGAGTGCAAGGGAGGAGAGTGCTATTGTATTTATGTCCTGCTTGGGGGGCTCCCATTGGCATCTGGTTGGCCCCCGTGAGAACAGGATGCTGACCTGCATTGGCCCAAGGTCTGGCCCAGCAGGGCTGCACTTACAGCTGAAGGCCCTGACAAGGATCTAGACCTGAAGTGTTTGTATTTACACTATGCCAGGAAGATCACTGGGCTGCCATTTTTCCAGAACAGGACTGTCCTGGAACCTGAGTTGTCAATATAGAATACGTCCGCCGTTCTGAGGCCTTAAGCAACTCACCCACAGAGTGCAGATTGTTGTTTTGTTGTTTAGTCGTGTCCGACTCTTCGTGACCCCATGGACCAGAGCACGCCAGGCACTCCTGTCTTCCACTGCCTCCCGCAGTTTGGTCAAACTCATGCTGGTAGCTTCGAGAACACTGTCCAACCATCTCGTCCTCTGTCGTCCCCTTCTCCTTGTGCCCTCCATCTTTCCCAACATCAGGGTCTTTTCCAGGGAGTCTTCTCTTCTCATGAGGTGGCCAAAGTATTGGAGCCTCAGCTTCACGATCTGTCTTTCTAGTGAGCACTCAGGGCTGATTTCCTTAAGAATGGATAGGTTTGATCTTCTTGCAGTCCATGGGACTCTCAACAGCACCATAATTCAAAAGCATCAGCCTTTTTTATGGTCCAACTCTCACTTCCATACATCACTACTGGGAAAACCATTGCTTTCACTATACGCACCTTTGTTGGCAAGGTGATGTCTCTGCTTTTTAAGATGCTTTTTAAGAGTGCAGATAGAGAGACTCATAATCTAGGCTGAGCTTGACCGTCAAAAGTGGGTGGTACCCTTACTCTTCTGAAATATTCTGTCCTCTAGCATAGGACTCTAGCTTTGGGTTAAGGCAATTTCTGGCAGTGCCTTGACAGTTCTCCCCTGGTGCATGCCAAGTCATTCGAGACAATGAGTTAAAACTGTTTTAAGAGCAGTCCGTGGTGTGCTGTTGTTTTCTTTAGCTAACTGACCAAACCATCTACAGTTTTCCAGCAGCTGACTGTTGGGAACTTAGCAAATGTCTTGTGAGTTTGTTGTGAATGGATTTGTTCTCTGGCATCAAGAGCTTTATTTGTGTTTCCAAGACCAAAATGATTTGTGGCTTTTAGATCCAGAGAGATAAGGTTTCCTTTCAAAGTTCTGTCTTGGAAGGATAAAGAAACAGAAAGAGAGGCATGTGTGTGTGAATACACACATACAGAGAGAGATGCTGTGTCTCAGCTCCTGCTGATACCTTTCTTGTGCTTCACTTGCGGTCTTTCCTTGATTCCTTCAGCTGAAGCTACACATTCAAAACCTGTCCTCCTCTCCTCTCCCACCTCCCCATGTTCTTACATACAGTATTGCTGCCACCTTCTGGTTCATGTATTCAACTTCACAAGCATTTTGACCTGGTTATAGAGAATTTTGTTAGTATTTATTCATCCATCCATCTATTCCTTCCTTCTTTTATAATACCTTCAATGAAGGAATTTCCCAGAGTATTCCTCAACACAACAGAATAATGATCAAATCAGTCACAAAGCAAAAAGAATAAGCACCAGCGATTTTTAAAAGCAGATTAAAATAGTTAGAACTTAATTGAAAGAATAATAGTATGTTACCTGCTGCTGAAAAGACAGCAAAGGAGGTGCCAAGTGGAGATGCACTTCCATAAATAGGCAACTACCATCAAGAAAGCTCTCTCCTGTTGCTCCGGGACTTACCTCAAATGACAGTAGCCTCTATAGCAAAGCTCTGCTCTGCAATCTTGGGCACATTGATGTGGGACTAGGCATTCCTTCGTAGATATTGACATCTCCTACTATATAGTGCTTTGATGCCAATGCTTTGAACGAGTCTTTTTCAACCTGGTGCCCTCCAGGTATTTTGGATTACAGTTCTTATCCTTGACCATGCTAGCTGGGGCTAATGGGAATTGGAGTCCAACAACATTTGGCGGGCACATGGTTGGGGAAGGCTGAATTGTGCTCTGAAGCAGGCATGTTCAAGAAGAGAAGAGTTGCTGGCACTGTTAGTTGCTTTGGATACCTGTAGCAAGTTATTTTTATTTATTAAATTCATATAACACCTGTTCTCCCAAGTAGCTCAAAGTGGTACACGTGGTTCTCCTCCTCGTTTTGGGATTCGAAACCTGGTCTCCCAGGTCCTAGTCCAGCACTCTAACCATTGCACCACACGGGCTGTCAAGTTGATTTGGTCAAGTTTTGGATTAATGTGGTAACTGAAGCTCGTTTCATGGCATAGACCATTGTAGCAAAGAATGCTGGTTGCAGCCCAAGTGGATTCATGACATACAATATCGATAGCCAGCTGTTATTGCCCAAGCTGGGCTCCCAGAGCTGACTGTCTGCCATCTGCTCAGTTGCCTGAGTAAAGAAAGAAAAATCTATTTGTAATATGAATGACAGTATTTCAGTGCTTAACTCAAGCTTAACACACTTGGCTGAGCTTACTTGATATGAAATAGTACATTCTTTAGCTTATCGCAAACTTGCCAAAAGTGTAAGGACTGCAGATGGCTAAAAGCAGGGTCGGGGGTTTTTGGGTTTTTTTTTAAGATAGCAAGAGGCTTTTCTTCTTGCTCAGCTTGTGGAGGGGGCGGCTGTATGCGTCTGCTTTGTGCAATGTGAGACTTTTATTGGCAAGCTGTAATCTTCTCTAGTTCTCTCCCAGTGCTATAGCTATCAAATTCTAATGCACGACACCATACATGTATGCTCAGGAAAACTGGACATCTGTACACCTTCAATTCTGGTTATCTGATGCATCTGTCAGAACCTGGAATAAGTTGTGTTTTATATCTCAAACTTTGTGGCGGTTTCAACCGCTCATTAGTAATGGAAGAAATGGTTTAAAAATAAAGGCGTTTATTGGCAATACCGTGGAAGTTTTTTGTAACCTAGCTGAGGCTACATGTGGCCTGAGAGGGATTGTCTGCAATTTACATACTATCTTCCTATTCTTGTCACTTGGACTTAGTTTCTGATCCAACATGTACCTATAGCTCCCAGTATTCAAAAATCCATTTATTCTGCTTTCCATTCCCTATTGCCAGACAAATGGGAAAATATATCCTAGTTCTGTGCAAAGATGCAGACAAAATGAAGTTGATAAAGGATGTGTTGTAGAAATTTAGGGAATCCTTTTCAGACCATGGGTTGTATTCCTTCATGGACAACCTTTCAGAGGCTGGGGGACAGGTAACACATCAATTACATGATGCGGCGCACATACACACTATTTGAATGGGAATTCCACTCTTTTGCAAATATTTTATTGGGGGACCGAAGGGACCTCAGCCCCTAGGAGTTGGCTTCTGTGATACACTATGTTACATCCTAGCTTACAAAAGGCTAGAATGGATTGTTTGTTTGTTTGGGGGGTTTTTACATGCACACATCCACCTGTTAAGATCAGGAGGAAGGGTGTCTCTTCGTATTTCTGCCACCCTCAGAAGTTTGGGAACAATAAGCAGCCCTGGAGAGGACATTCTCTGTGGCAGTCCCTAAATTGTAAAATTCAGTCCCCACAGTGGTACCTCTGGTACTTCCACTATACAGCTTCCAGGGAATAGTGAAGACGTACCTCTTTACCTGGCATTTGACACATGAGAGATGTATTTTCAGGATAGATTCTTAATGGCCAGATAGAGACGGACCTAGAGAACCACTTTTGTCCGCAGACCTGAGGTTCCCCATCCCTGTTACATATGATAAGAGTGAGAAACAATTATCCCCTTATTCAGTCTGAGCCTGTATCTTGTGGAAGATAGGTGTACCATAATTCTGAATGTTTTTTTGCCCTCCCAAATTCAGTCATACCTTGGATCCTGAACACCTTGCGAGTCGAACATTTTGGCTCCCAAACTCTGCAAACCTGGAAGTGAGTGTTCCGGTTTGCGAACATTCTTTGGAACCCAAATGTCTGATGCAGCTTCCGCGGCTTCTGATTGGCTGCAGGAGTTTCCTGCAGCCAATCAGAAGTCGCGCCTTGGTTTCCAAACGTTTTGGAAGTCGAACGGACTTCCGGTACAGATTTCATTCGACTTCCAAGGTACGACTGTACTGGAAAGATTTGAGGGCCTATGTATACTTTGTATTACTTGCTTTGATAGAATTTAGCATTCCCAGTTGGCAGAATTTTTATTCTAACAAATGTTGTCATATGTACTCTGTGTGGTCCCTAAATGTACGTTTCTTGTGGCAGCTTGAATGGTCCTTTATCTCTAAAGCATTCAAGGGCTATAAGAATTTGACAGGATTTACTTTCCTTAAAAAATAACTCTTCTTTCATTTGCAAAATGGGATATCTCTAATCCTAACTTTGAGTTTAAATTGGGAGCAGGGGAGAGGTTTACTGATGGTACTCAATCTGCCATTTAACAGAGCAGTTCTATGCAGAGTAACTCAGTAAGTTCTACTAAGTTTAAATGGGTAAGTGTTCATAGAATTGCAGCTTTCACCTGCTTTTTACAACTGTAGTACCAATGTATTTGGTAAGCTTAATCATTCTCTTGATACTAAGCATATTTTACTACTTGAATGTGAATTGGGTTGGTTATAAAGAAGCTACTCTGTAACTTGCATCCTTCTATGTATAACAATCTCCATTATATCAGCTTTGTTTATCTGCAACTGCTAGTTATCTGAATTCACTGTGTGTCCTTTAAGTAGCACATAGGAAAGGCAATCCCTAAGTGCATACTGTACCTTTTGATCATTCATTTGCATTGAACTTATTCCTGAAATTCCGGTATATATCTAGTTTCATTGTTAGCTGCTTTTAGTTCTGTTGATTTCACTAAGAAATTTAAGCATGTGCTTAGTTCTCTCTCTCCCCTCATTGAAATCATCTCTCCCCCCCATTGACTTTGACTTTTTTATTTTTGCAACATCCATGCCTGCTGTCTCTTGCATCTTTATATGGTGAGGGGGCTTTGTCCTCAAACATAGGTTTTCCCATGCCAGATATCTTTGGGAGTAACAGAGTTAGAATAACCATGAAGTTCTTCCACAGACAGTCTCTGTCATTGTCAAAGTCGATTTCAGACTGCTGCGGTTATTCCTGGGGGTAATCAATAAATCATGTCATCACCTTCACCCCTCTCAAAGTGGTGGAAGAAAAAGCACTTCATCATCAAGGAAAAAGCATCCCCACTGCTACAAATGAAAGGAGAAATGCAGCAATCAATCCTCTAATCTGAAGCCTTAAAATTTAAACATCTTAACAAGATGTAAAGTCATGACTCAGGAGGGGGGCGTAATGCATACCAATACACTTGGCTCCTTGGCAGATGAAAGGACTCCTCAGCCTTGCAACTTATTATATTACAGGATGCTGCTTACAGTGAATGTTTCTTGCTCTCTGCAGGAAACTCTAGCTCATGAATGTGAACTGAAGATTGAAATTAAGAGGTGGTTGGCCCTAAAGATTCTCCTTAAGTTTTGATAGTAGAATCATATCTCATTCGGCAGCACATATCACTGCTGAAACGAAGGCAGAATTAGAATAAATTTCTTACAGGGAATTTGGTAGGAAGAATTCTATAGAGAGCCATTGTGGTGTAGTGGTTCAGAGCAGTAGATTCGTAATCTGGTGAACCGGGTTCGCGTCTCAGCTCCTCCACATGCAGCTGCTGGGTGACCTTGGGCCAGTCACACTTCTTTGAAGTCTCTCAGCCCCACTCACCTCACAGAGTGTTTGTTGTGGGGGAGGAAGGGAAAGGAGAATGTTAGCCGCTTTGAGACTCTTTCGGGTAGTGATAAAGCGGGATATCAAATCCAAACTCTTCTTCTTCTTCTTCTGTATGATATTTTAATTCAAGTGTGGCCAGCCAACAAATGTCATCTGACCTGAAGCACTTGGGCAGCTTTCTTCCTAAGGAGAGATGCCTTTTCAAACATGAATTGCCCATCTGTCATCCATTCTGCAAGCTCCTTTCATGTGGGAGAGGAGCAACACCTTTGAAAGTGTACATCATCCAGGTGTGACCTGTCCAACCAGCACTTTCAGAACTTCCTCTTCTCAGGTGTAACGTTGTCCAGTGCTGGGCAGTCTCCTATCTGTGTCGAGTTTTGGAGATTCAGACTGGGGCATCTGACATCCAACCCAATCTGCACTTTCAGAGGCATCTCTTGGGCCACTAAGCCACATAAAAAACCAGCCCCCCAGTTGATTTGCCCTGTCTGTGGTTTAGTAACCTTTGATAGCGCAAAGGATAGGTTCCTCAATCCTGTCCTAACTGCTAGGTGTGGGGGCCGATTCACTTGTTGGCCAAGTTGAATGGGGCCTTTGCTCTAACTTGGTCCTTAGACGTTCCATTTGAAAGGCTTGTCAAGCACACTGCTTTATAGTATTTCTCAAATAGAATGTGGTGGCAAGCTTGAAAGGTGGGGAATATTCATTTGTAGCTAAGGACTTGGAATAATGCTGATGGGAAACTGTTATGGGCAAGTTAAATAACGGTGCTAGGGTATGAAGCTGATTAGTTTTGCACAAAAACCCTAATGAAAGTATGCAATACATTGGTTTTACACTAGTATGTTGGAACCTACAAGTGGATCATTCACAGACCTGAGATTGGTCACATCAAGGGCACCAGCATTCCCATTTTCTTTGTTTGGTGGGGGTATTGTTTTTTTGGGGGGGAGAAGTGGGGAGATTGTGATAAGATGCAAAGCAAGATAGTCCTCCTTTACCTTTAATGGTTGTATAAAAGAGCATTGTAGTGGCGGTAGCTTTTTTCAGCCCTAAACAGCAAGATGCACTTAACACATTCTCTCTTCTATGTAATTGTAGGTTGGGGTTAAAGGGGAGTCCTGGATCTAAAAAAGTGTGGTGCTATTTCCGTAAATAACAGTAAATGACTTGTGATGAAATGAGTTACACTGCTTGTTGCCTAAGATGCTTTTCAACTTGACTGTGACTTTAGAGCTTTGTGTATATGCTTTTCAGATTGATAGAACCTAAAACAAAGATTTTCTTCCTTCTTGCCTACTTAGGTGTTGACTTACCAAGAAGAACAGTAAGTCACCACCTTGAGGAGAAGGCAGGGTGTGTATCTGCTGCAGTATCTGACGAGTCCATGGCCGGAGACAGTGGTGTATACGAAGCTTCTGTAAAACAGTAGGTTTAAGGCAGAATTCCATTTATCCAAAACTAAAATTTGAGCATCTGGCTCTGTCATGTCCAGGCATTTTGCAACAATTTGAAAAATAGTATGTGGGGCTGAGTCAAAACAATTTATCTCATTTTGTATTGGTTCCCCACTCCCTTTGCTCATTTGGGTAATTGTAAACACCTTCTCACTATTTTGATGATGAGCTTCCCCTGCTGTTTCATTGCCCACACAACCCTCAGCCTCATTTGCCCACACTTACCGGCTATTGAAACTTATGTCATTTTGTCAGTAGCGTCACAATGCTGCATCTGACATGATGGTGTCACACAGGTGCCACTTACTAAAATAATGTGAGTTGCCACAACCAATCATATTAAAATGCAGTGTGGACGAACCAAGACTGTGGATTGAAAGGACAAAGAATTTTTAAAACTGCACAGAAACAAACATCAACCAGGGGACCAAAGGAGTACTGTATAAGAAACAAGTATAGCTAGGGGTTGCAGGGTTGTAATCTTTTCGGTATTTTGAAACCCTTGGCTTGAAGGACAGGTTATAAATATGTAATAATAATATAAAAGGAATATCAACTTTGCAAAAACCATACTGCATGTCCCTAATTTAAATGTAATAGTGTACTGTTGAAACATCTGAGAATTCAAAGGCAGGATTAAAATATTAGTATTAATAGTAATTAACTTACATGCAGACCAATCTGAATCCCTTTTTTTGACTGGAGCATCTGCAAGGGCCCCGAGTGTGTTCAGCAAACGCATAAGGTAACATCACCGGGAGCAGAAGAGGGGACAGAGCTGGATCAGTTAAGGATGCACTGGAACTTAATTAAGGTGGTCTAGTTACTGGCAATGGGCCTGATCTGAGCTTTTCTGCTGGGCCAGCTATGGTTTTGTTGCCTCATTCTGCCTTGCTTCTGAGAGTTAAAATTGCTCCCATAGTTGGCCTTTCATTCATTCATTCATGTTAGCACAGAAAGAGGAGAAAGAAGATACTACTTGTAGAGACTGAAAAAAATAATCTAACATCCCAATGCAATGCTTTCAAGAACAGAGGACTTTTCATTTGTTGTTTTTTTTAAAAAAGCTCTTTCTTGTTTCAAAGCACAATTCTTTATAATAATCAGAATAAATGACCTAATAAACACTGAAGGGTAAAACACAATTTTATACAATTTGAGGCCAATTGCAAGCATGCATGAATGGGGGAGTTTCTAGTCCTTGTATTGATTTGTTCTCTCTTTGCGCATGCAAGCAATTATAAACGATGATGACCCTTCAAGGGAGGATCCTGAAATAATTAGCCATTAGTGAGATCTACCTTAGCAATACTTCCTTCCTAGATCCACAAGGAAGTAGCTGTTTTCTGTCATCACTTTTTGACATTACATATGAAACGGAAAAATCCTAAGCATTGACTTGAACAGTGCATTTGGAACAATCTTACAGTTTTGGTATAGAATAAATAAAGTATATTACTGCTCAAAGGTATAAATGTTGGTCTGCTGTGGCTATTCAACCTCTTTTCCTCTCTCCTCTAGACCAAACGATAGTGAAGAAGTTGCATATAGTGAAGATGATACAACAGTTCTAGAGGCACCTCAAGTTCAAATAGGACTCCGGTAAGTCGGCGCATGTGAAATGTCAGGCTATTTCTTGACTTCTGCAAATGTACTACAAGTGCCTGATGCAGGGTTTTGTTTTGTTTTTGTCTCTTCTTAACAGATACGATACAAACAGCTCAAGTTTTGTAGTCATTGTGGGGCAGTTACAAAATCTTCATGCCCTTTCTGTATCCCCTGGCTCCAAAGTGTAAGTAAAGTAATCCCCGGATTACGGTTTATCACATTTTTTTGGATCCATGGGCGTATTTAGAATTGGGAGAAAGTGCTGTGGGAACCCCCTTTTCTGGTTGCTTATCTTTCACCACCTCCCCACAAACATACTCCCCACAGACATACCAAAAGTCAATGATCTTTGCTTTTCTGAGGAAGCTGGGTTAAAGTTGGATCCACTAGAATTATTTAAGGGGTTTTTTTTATTCTGTAAAGGTTGATGTCTTATTTCTGGACTGGATAAATACTCACATAGTCTTTAAGAAGATGGCGGTGGTGGAGGAGGAAGGAACCGTACGGATGCAAGATTACACTTTCCTCTTCACACCAAAGCCCTGTCATGTGACCCCGTCCTTATTTTTCCATTCCATTTCAACCTTAGGAAGTTGTGTGCTCCTTCTCTGCGTCACAGAAGCACCCATCTTCTTTCTTTGCCAAGCAACAAACAGTGCCCTGCCCCACAAATAAACAGGAATATAGGAAGATATTTTTAATACCTGTGAGGTTTCAAACTGTGCCTATACACAACATTTTCAAAAGGTGGTCTCAGAGCTATAGGTGAACCCAGCTAAGGTGGCCTTTTAAGTTCCTGTTGCTTTTTGGCCTTACCTAAAAAGGACACAAGTTTCTATAGTTTAGCAATGCCCCATGCATGATATATGCCTGGATTTTTCTAACTATCAATTTGACAGGCAAGCAGAAAGTCTTCTCCAGAAGGAGCTGACCTTAAACTGACTATACCTTTTGAGTTGTATCTGAGATTCGTATGCTACCTGGAGACCATTTTAAACATTCATTGTATGTGTGTAATGCATTTGCATTTCAAAGGGAATGGAGTTTCACCTTCTCACTTGATAAGCAGAGCAGCGCCTTTTTGCGAAAGCATGAAATGCCTCTTTTACTGGGAGCACTTGTTTCCGTCAAGGTAGCTTAATTTGTGGAAATATTTATGTACTAACAGGCTGCTTTCTACATCGCAATATGGTCTGGGAGCACTCCCACAAGACTTAAGCTGTGTACACATTACCACTTACTCATGCTCCAGCTCATTCCCACCACTGGGAAACCGAGTAAGCGTGACAATAAGCCACAGTCCATAGGTATCTTGTAGCCTCTTGAAAAATATTCCCAGCCTGAGGCACTTTCCCTCAAACCAGCTTTCACCCAATTAGAAAATGGAAGCTGCAGTTAAGCGGAGGTATGTACAGTTCTGGATGCCATTGCATGTGCACAGGTAACAGCTTTGGTGAATTGGGAGTTCAGCGTGGGGAAACAAACCAGGTAATAGGCATCAAGTGACGACATCCCTTCCCCCTCTCTGGTTTGTATAGAAAAGTGAGAACAGGACTTGAAACACAGCGGGGAGAAACAACCTCACTGCGTTTCAAGCGACTAATGCAGTGTTTCCCATACTTGGGTCTCCAGCTATTTTTCTTGTTTGGACTACAACTCCCATCATCCCTAACTATTGAGGGCAGTGGTCAGGGATGATGGGAATCGTAGTCCGAAAACAGGGGGAGATCCAAGTTGGGGAAACACTGCACTCATGTGTACATGGCCTTAGGTAACACAATGTGGAACAGAGAGTGAGAGAGTGCTCCAGCTTGGTTTCTATTTTATCCCTCCCTGCTTTGTTTTCAAGCACGCAGTGTTGTGCAAGGAGCACTCCCAAGTTGCTGAGCTGTATTGTGGGATGAAGCAATATTACGAGCATTCCTTTAAGCTTTAATTGTGTGCTTGTGGCAAATAAACAAAAGCAGCTGTTTGGGGATAGCAGGACTAGCTATTTTCCAAACTGTAGATGTGGATGGGGTTGATAACTGTAAAAAAAAACTAGACCATAAAAAGATTGGTTGACATAATTATATGAGTTGAAGATACCTGAGGGAAAGTCTTGGGATTTTTTAAATTTTATTTTAAATAATTTCTTTGCCTCTTTTCATTTAAAAATAAATCCCAGGGCAGTTTACCACAAAATAATAGTAATGAGACAATAGAAATGAAATAGTGAAACTCCACAGTTACAGTCCCACGGTTGCTAAAAGGTGGCATCAGGAAATGCTTGTGCAAAAAGATGGGTTTTTGGTTTCACATAAGATAAATAAGTGTCTGTGAGAAAGGCAGCATTTGTAAATAACTTATTTTGTAGCATGATCAACAGAATTGTTCCAGAGGTCTGCATTAAAAAGTAATAATAATCCAAGAGCAATATGAAGAGAAAGTGGCCTTTGAAGTAGATTACTGACCTCACGATTTCAACTGGTCATTGGGGTACAGGAACAATAAGAGAAATGTTAGTGGGAATTGGACAACTTTATATGAAGGACTGAAGATTGTGGAAACTCCTGCTGGCTGCTGGGGATTGTATTCACATGCAGCTGGATTTACACTGACATTTCGTCACCTGTCACTGGAAACGGTCAAAACGAATTGTGTGGAGGGAGAAATGACAATTTGTATGTGTGAACCAGCACTCAGAACCTGCTAAATGCTCTTAATATTTCTCTCTTCTCCTCCATTTTCTGCCACTTATTCTCCTTTACTTCTGTATTTTAATCTATGTGTCAGTATTCTGTTTACAATTCACAACGTTTCATTTCACTATTTCTTATTTCATTTCAAACTCTCAAATTTCTCTGCTTTATTTTTCCTAGCCCTTTTTGCATCTTTAAAAGACTTTTCCAACTTTCTAGCATATCATCAGGATAGTATTTAGCAGCCTAACACATCCCCTGCTATTTCCAGTAGGATAACGGACTCTACAAATTCCATCTGTGATTTGTGAGCTCTTCTTAACTCCCACCCACTCTTGAGTTTCAGCATTTCCATTTCAATAATAATAATAATAATAATAATAATAATAATAATAATAATTTATTATTTATACCCCGCCCATCTGGCTGGGCTTCCCCAGCCACTCTGGGTGGCTTCCAAAAGAATATTAAAATACTATAATACATCAAACATTAAAAGCTTCCCGAAACAGGGCTGCCTTCAAATGTCTTCTAAAAGCCTGGTAGTTGTTATTCTCTTTGACATCTGGTGGGAGGGTGTTCCACAGGGAAGGCGCCACTACCGAGAAGGCCCTCTGCCTGGTTCCCTGTAACTTGGCTTCTCGCAGTGAGGGAACCGCCAGAAGGCCCTCGGTGCTGGACCTCAGTGTCCGGGTAGAACGATGGGGGTGGAGACGCTCCTTCAGATATACTGGACCAATTTCTATTTCCACTTTTCTTTCTTTTCCCCCTATTTTTCCCAATGGCCGGGTTAGGTGACACACCTTTACTATTGACATCTACAGTATAAGGCAGTGGGCACCGAAGTCTCTGCAGTTGAACAAAAGACTTTTCCAGGAATAAGACATTTCTTTTACAAGTCTTTTGCACAGGGGCTTTGGGATACTTGTTTGAATCCTCTTCCGCATGTTTTTTCTTCCCACCTCCTAGGTATTTTAGAGTTGCAGTTCTTCCCTCTTCCGCTGACATCAGCTGTCTTTTCCGCACGAAAGTCCACTCTGCTGCTGAAACTCTCTTATTTAGTGAGATGTTCAGAGTAGCCATTTCCCAGGCCTCTTTGCAGCAGAAGACTTTGAGAGTGGATGTCTGCTCTGTCAGTAAAACTCGCTGGGAAGAATGCCTAGTAAGTATTCTTTATTATTGGCTTTGTTTGATGTTCTTTTGTTTTTTCTCATGCTGATAGATAGGAGGCTTCTGAGGCATGCATTAGCAACCTCCGCAGGACTTAATATATTCATCTCTGATATGGGATGATTGTGGAATTTAGATTCCCTTTTGATCACAGTATTACAGAGGTAGACAATTTGTTCAGTGCTGAGGGCTTCATTGAAAATGCATCATAAGCCTGAGGGCTGCAGCTGATATACATATTTTAGACACATGTAATAAGCATAATTTGCATATGGTTTTAATCGATGTAGTCAACGGCAAGCTACAATGAGCTTTGCAACAAAATAGTGTGCTCCAAGCATGGCAGCCTTTGGTTCAGCCTCTCAACTCAATTTTTTACATTTCAGCTTAGAAGTTGAAAACAGTAAGAATTTTTTTTGTGGGGGGGGATTTGCTACTATTTGCATTTTTTCATCAGATTCTTCTACATCTCTCTCCAGCTGTGACAACTAGGAAATTTAATGAAAACCGAAAATCCTTTGTTTCTAGCAAATATGCAACCCACATGGAGTAGTTATCCCTTTGGCCCTAAAAAAATTGTGTAACTTTAGATTGCAGGTAGATGGACAGGGTTCAGTTTTTGTTGCTTTTATTTTGACTTTCTGTCACATTCACAGGCTGGGAGGGGATGATGGAAGATTGGAATTGAGCCTACTAAATACTTAAATGCCAAACAGTTGGTGCAATTGTACTTTCAGGAAGCAAACATTTGTCTACCGGACAATGTTTTTGTTCTTTGGCTATGGAGAGAGGGAAATGCCCCTCCGCAACACAAGCACACAGGTTTATTTATTTTGAGAGGGTAGAAGCACTGGAATGTATTTTACGTTTGTGACACCTGTTTTCACTCCATGGCTGACACGATTCTGTCTTACTGTGGCTCTCAAAAGCCCCATTGACATGAACAAGAAACACACGAGTTAAATACTTAAAATACAATTTTGGTGCTGATGCAATTTCCTGGCCTACCTTTTATGTTGATATCTGACAGCATTGACCCACAACACACATCAATACAGAAATGATGTGCAGCCTAGAAAACTGCAAAGCTAGTAAGTTTCTTCCATTCGCCTTTGGAAGAAGGTCTACTAAAGTGCCTTATACCAAATTGCTCCATGGAGCCCAATATTGCCTACAGTCAATCTTTTTCCAAGACAGAATTTCCCATGCCAGGGAACTGAGCCTGGGAACTTGTGCAAGCAAAGCATGGGTTCTGTCACTGAGCTCTGGCTCCTCCCCTACCTCAGTGGCAAAGGTGCATCAAGCAAAATGGTCACATCCCCCCTGGATAAGAGCACCCTGGTAAGAAGCTGATTGCTCTGTTTTTCTTTGTGTTTCTCACACTATCATTGCCTCAGTAACCATTCAGTGGATAATAATATAACAGAAGCATATTGATTAATAACCATGGACACTGCTAGAGTTTAAAATGATGGCGCCTGAGGCATGTTGCGCAGTAGGGCTCTTCAAGCTTCCGAATAGGAGCCTGAATTTTCTTTTCTTGCATATAAAACCACATTCTTTCCTCATGATGGACTGATGCCAGAGTTTGTTTTTGTTTTTTGCCTTAGGCACCAACTTAGTACTGTTTCTTGCATGGATCTGTTATATTTGATTAGATTTACAGAATTTAAACTACTATATATATTTATCCTTGTGGGTATGCATTGTCTGGTCCTTAATATTTCTAGATTACAACACACACACACACACACACACACACACACACACACTTGTGTCCCCTTTAAATCAGGTTGTCCCCACATTGAGGGAAAACACAACAGCAGCAAAAGACTGGCTGTTACCAACCAGTGAAGAAGATCTGGGTCCCAGGGCTTAGTTGGGACTCCTTTTGTAGAGTCCTTCTGAATCCCAGTTGCTTGTGGGTTTCCCACAGGTAGTAGTTGCTGTGAGAACAGGATTCTGGGCTACTGTCGATGGGCCATTGTCCTGTTATTATGTAAGAGGTACAGGAAGTTAGAGGTATTTGAGGATAATAATAATAAATTTTATTTATATCCCGCCCAGCCGAAGCCGGGCTCAGGGCAGCTAACAACAATCAAATAATCAAACAATCAAATAATTCAATATTCTAAAAACATTTCATTTTAAAAATTAATTAAAATCAAATTGATGGCAACTGTTAAGCAAAATTCTGTGCAGGTTGCCAGAGGAGGGAGTCAGACTGCGCCCTGACCAAAGGCCTGGTGGAACAACTCTGTCTTGCAGGCCCTGCGGAAAGATGTCAGGTCCCGCAGGGCTCTAGTCTCTTGTGACAGAGCGTTCCACCAGGTTGGAGCCACAGCCGAGAAAGCCCTGGCTCTAGTTGAGGCCAGCCAGTGTAAAACTATGTTGACATATTTGCATTGTTTCATCAGGGAAGGGGTGGTTGTATCTATTAAAATTACTGTTATTTTTTATTGATTTGATTTTCTAAATAACCAATGAATTATCATTTCACATTTCTGTGCAGGCTGGAACTCAAATAAGCCTGGCAGACTTGCCATGTTCGGATGAGACTTCTACTCTCTGGTATAACTTGCTGGCTTACAAGCAGATTCCTAGGAAAAAGAATAAGGAACTAAAGGAGGATCCTGTATATGTACCAAACAATCAGTCGCCTGGCTCCTTGGACCTGGTGAGCAATGTGTGATGACTTCTGAACAGGAGACTAGAAAAATAGAAGCGGCAACAGTGAAGCAATTGTACTGTCTAATTATTTGCTCCCTCCTGCTGCTTTTGTTAGCTGACTGCCATATGGCCTGAGTGGAGGTGTGTAATTTGGCTTCTAAGAACCAAATCTACCTTGCAAGGGGGGGGGGGACACCTGCAAGCCGCATGTTACCACATTAAAAATTCCCTGTGCATAAAAAACACAACACTAGCTCATCATGGAGAAAGCTTAGGTTACTTTCCACAGTGTTATTTGTTTTGTTTATTTAACAAAATTTGTATTGTATTCTGTTCTTTTTTTAAAAAAAAACCACTTGTAAGCAGTTTGCAACAATATAAAATTAAACATTAAAAATGGTTGATGGAAAACAGTTAAAAACAAGCATTAAGATATTCAAAAGATAATTAAAATCAACAGAAGCTAAAGAAAAGCTCAAAACACATTTAACCTCTATGTGTCTGGATAGGCTTGCCTAACCAAAAATATTTTAAGCAGGTTTTGAAAAGAGCACAGTGATGGTGCCTGTGGAATGTCAATAGGCAGGGACTTCCAAAATGTAGGCCCTGCCCACACTAGAAGCTGGACGTCTTGCAGGGCCAGAATGAGGATTAAGGGGCACCTATAACAATGCCAGTTCCACAGGTCGAAGCAGTAGAGTGTGTGCATATGGCATGAGGTGTTCCTGCAAGTAAACTTGAGGACTTTATATACTAATAGTAACACCTTGAACTGGTAGCAGTGCTGTTGTTTTTACATGGAGTTCAGTTATTCAATACACACACACACACACCTTCTGCCTGTACTTGGACACCTATTCTCAGCTACAAAGTGTGCAGTTATACTGGGCCTGCTTGGATTATCTTCTTTCCTTGATCTGCTATTCTATGTGTGATGAAAAGTAAGAGCATATACTGCCTAATCACATGATTGCTTCCTAGATTTTACCTGAAATGACAGCTTACAAGATCCGGGCCTTCCTGCATTGGATTTAATGAATGTGTTTTCTTTTATGAACATTATGTTCATGTACGATTGTCCCACTTCAGCGACGTGGGAAGGGAATGAACATTCCTGTTCGCTACTACAAGTCAGGGAGCAGAGCCAGAAAAAGTTGTAATCTTACCTGGCTGGTTGTCATTTATGAATGTCAGATACTTCTGTAAAGTTTGCTTTTGCCAACTATGCATAAATGGCAGCTAGTTTTTTGCAGCATACAGTTAATACGTAATTTTGAACCAAAGAACCACAGTATATTTCCTTTACTATATCCTTTCTGAGACAGTACATTTTGGTCGGGGGGTATAATTTTCACAAGGGATGCATGAATTCTGAAGTCACATGGAAACATGGTGTCACATGAACAACCAAATATGCTCAGCCCTGAGTTTCTCATGATGTTGCCCTGCTTATGTCCATGTGTTCCTGCAGATGTTTTTGTGATCAGTACATTTCATCAACACCTTTTCTGAAAAGTGGATTCCGGTAGAGTGTCATTGGCAGTGCCAGTGTAATTGACAAAGGCATTGTCTGTTCACAACTATTAATAGGGCAGGTTTTATAAGTAACATCGCTCAGTATGTCTTCTAATGTAGATCTGCTTCCAATGTCTCTGTTAGGACGCTGTGTCAGCATTACTGGAAAGGACATCAGCAGAGCTGCAGGCAGTAGAACAAGAGTTGGCAGAGGAGGAAGATGAAGATGAGGAGGAGGAAGAGGAGGAGGAGGAAGAAGAAGAAGAAGAAAAGGGTGTACAGGAGCCACAACATGTTGAAGAAGACTGGTAGATTGATTTAAAAAAATAATAATAATAATGTTGTTATTTATAAAGCAACATCAAAAACAAGGCTGATCGCTGAAAGAAACTTCTGCTCACCATCTGCTCCTCGTGCATGTAAAATAAACTTCTTACCCTTTTAGACCCCTTGATGGAGAACTGCACGTTTCGCTTGCTGTTTTCCCTATACCAGTTTCCCCAGTGCTGAAGAGAGAAGCTGTTTTTATTTGTTTGTTTTAAATTTAAGTAGCATTTTGTGTCTTGAGTGGGAAGTGGAACAGGGATTATGAATGGCATATCCGCCACACACGCTTCCACCATTGAGTCTGCACACAATTAAGATTTCCAGGAGAACCCCACCCCTTGAAATCCCAACCCCCATTTCCCCTGCCAGCCCTGGCACCACACTGTCTGCATATGAGAGGGGAAGCCTGGTGGACATGCATTGGCTCTCCCCATGAGTTTGTGGGTGGACAGCGATGCAGCCAGAAGGCAAAGGCCTGCTCTCTCTCTCTCTCTCTCTCTCTCCTTAATAGCATAGAAGCTAATGACTTAAGGGACTACAGCCCACTCCCCATGCGTAAGAACCTGTGAGACCTGTTGGATCAGACCAAAGGTCCATTTGGTCCAACATCCTGTTTCCCAGACAGATGCCTCCAAGAAGCCTATAAGCAGGTTGTGAAGGCACTAGCTCCTCCCTTTTGTTTCATGCTATTTAGTGACATAAAACAATGAAGATGGGTATTATCTCTTCTTTGAAGCCAGCCTTGCATTGTCCACAATAAATGTCGAGTTTGGGTGATTCATCTTTCAGTAGAGATGTTATTAAATGTGGCTTAATTGCCTTGTGTTAAGATCTCACGTAAAAAAAAATTAATGCAGGTAGAGTGCCCCCCCTTCATGTTAATATAATCTTGATATCTGTAGAGAATGTGAAAAGAATTAGTCTGTATTTGCTAGTTCTACATTTGCTGGTTAATAATCATGAGAAAGGTATCTTGCATCTCTCCATTAGAACCATCTGTGGATGTCAAACGTACTGCGCTTTTGTCAGAATGTTCTAAGGGAACCGATTTGCAACAGACCTTTCTGTTTTTCTTGGAGCGGATGACTAATATAATGCATTCACATGTCGGATCATGAAAGCGTTGTACTGAAATTCTAATCTACTTCTGGCTGAGATAATGTGTCGATAATAATATATCTTTTGTACAGGGTTCAGATCCCAGGCATGCCAGTATTTTTTCTTTTTCTTTCCTCTTTGCGGGCCTTGTCAGTTTTCAAGGGTAAACTTGGGTTACTTTGTTCTCACAGGCTAGGAATGCTGGCAGAGGCATCCAGTGAGATTGTGACAGAAGAAGAGGGCAATGTTAAAGGGGCAGAGGGAAGCAGATACTCAGATGACAACAGATTCTGCCTTAAACTGGTAGAGGAAGGTGAAACCAAGCACAGGGAAGACAGAAAACATGCACACGCGTGTCACAATGAGCAAGCAACGGCACCACCCATACTGGTGAATATTTTAGATTGTTTCTCTAATGCACCACAAAGAAGACACTGACATCCTGTGGCTGTGTTTGGTCAAGCAAGGTGGTGTGTTTAAAGGCAACAGTGTTTGTCATAAGGAATCTGTTTATTGTTTTCAGCCCTATGTTAATCAATGAAGGCCTGGTTTGCATGTAACATTAAACCGTAATTCAAAACAAACCATAGTTTATGAGCACATAGCTCCACTGGAAAACAAGCACAAGCTGGAGTCTGGCTATTGTGGTGCCTGGACCCTGTCACGTGGTTTGTTTCCTTCCAAACAACGCACAATCAAAAGCCAAGGTTTGTTCTCATGGTTTGGGGCAGTGCACCAGGAGTGGGAGGGGTCTGCATGCAGTGAGCACCAGCACACCGCTTCTTCATGTTATATTTTTATGCACGAACCTGGCCAAAGTCAGCTCAGTGTTTAAACTCTCCATTGATTTCTAACAGGTTCTGTCCCCTCTGGCAAAGTGATCCTTTTTTTGTTTTGATATACAGCAAAGGGGAAAAGCAGAAAAGAGATTCTTAAGTCCTCAAGAAAAGCATTCAGCTTGCTAGTTAACATTTAATGTTTATTTGGGAGATTATTCATGTTTAATAATGAATGTATTAAATATTTAATAGGCTATTTTAATGTTTAAGCTATACTTGCATACACGGATGGTTTAATATTTTTGTTTTTGCATTTGTTATGAAGTTTTAATAATAAGGGCTCAGCGCTTCAGAGCAGTGCAGGAGAATTGTGTGTTGTGTGTTTAGGGTGCAAGCTTTAGTCAAAGAATTGGTGGAATTAAACAATGAAAAAGCACTTTTGATCAACTAAAAAGGTGTCTCCCAGTTAAGGAGGCAGCACCTATGGGGTGGGATCCAGACCTGATCTTCTGTGAGCAGAAGGACTCCTCCTACGGAGGTCAAATGGACCTAGTGGAGACTCCCACTGTGTGAAGTGGATTCTGCTGTGGGCAGAAGGAGTGGGAGAGTGATTTTCACCAATTCCCCTTTCCCCTGCAGTTCTGAATGGTCCTCCAACCCTCTGGAATTAGGGTTTTGTTTTGGTTTTGGTTTTTGCGAGGGGAGGGGGAGAGAGATTGGAAAGGAAGAGAGAATATCACCCCAAATCAGCTCTGCCTCTTCCGCTAGTTTTCAGTTCCACTTTATGCAACTCAGGATCCGACCCACTAAAAACAATTACTTTAATTACAAAAATTATGGGTGGCAGGCAGCATCTTCAAAGAGGCACTCCTCTTCCTTTTGCATGAAGGGATGGCTTTGGAAGCATGTGAGTACAGTATCTGTACTTTGATAAAGCATGTTCTTGCTCTGATCTTGAACTGCAGCCTGGTTTTTATGAATGGCTCTGCCTGCTCTCCTTCCTCTTATTTTTTTATTATTTTACTTTCCATATAAACAAAGTGATCTCCAAGTACCAGATGATAGTTCCTTCTTAGCACCACAGCTGCTCCTTTGGAAAAACCAAACAGAAATAGAAGATACTGATAAGACCTCCTGGTTGCAATGTCTCAGAATATGTTCATTGACTAGAATCTGTTTGATACCCCTTACCACTGATGGTAGGAGGCTAAGTTTCCTACATTTTTTATCATTCTGCAAAAATAACATACACATTTAACAGAAAGGATTGGTCCACGTTCTTGTAGTACCCCACTGAGAATTTTAGCATAATTCACAACAGTAGCCAGTTCTGGTTACTTCCATCAGTTCATCTAAGACTTGGAATTTAAGTAAAGGGAGGAGTTGTTGTTTTAGAATAGGGAATATGTTTTTTCTCCAGTATTTGTTTCACCACCTCTAGAGAGGACAACAGCATTCCTGCAGTTAGCAAACGGTAGGCCTCGCTGTGAGTGTTAGTTTTAAACAGACAATATGACTTCATTTACTTAAAATGGTCTCCAGCTTTCATTCTCCTGCAAGGTTTTTGTTTCCATTAGTAAAATCAGAGACTTCTAACCTGAGGTCAACCTTTTGTCCCTTGTTTGAGCCTGAGTCACAAGCCTTTAATATCAAGTACAATATGCGTAGGGGAAATCATTGTTAATTAAGATTCACATAACATTCAGGCAGGTGAGTGTGTGATGCTTTGTGCAGTAAGATTCACACGTGTCCCACATTGAAATAGTACTTTCTGTCTATTATTGCTGAGTGGTGCATTGGATTCTTTGTCTTTATCGTAACTAATTTGTGCCAGAATGGGAGGGAAAGCAAGCTTTGTGGGGAGGTTTTGGTTTTAAGGATTGAAAACAATGCACAATATCCTCAACAGGTTGATAAGGAAACGAACACAGAAGACAGACGTGAGGGTGTGGCTGTACGACCCAAGGACAGAGCCGGCCTCAAGTCTCAGCAGCATCCCTTTGTCAGGAACAGCATGATAGTGCGCTCACAAACTTTCTCTCCAGGCGAGCGGCACCAGTACATCTGCAGGGTAAGACAAAGAGTGTTCTCCGCGAGGTCCCATTAACTAAAAGACTCATTTAACTTCTTTGGCAGTAGCACGCTACTGGCAATGAGCCATATACTGACAACCCCGCATCCATCTCTCAGCTGCTAAGCTATAGCAAGCTTGTCACTCTTGCCTGTGGACTTTAGAATTTGCTGCTTGCCATGAGCGAGCCTGGAGCTTGTTGCTGCTGTTGACATCCCCCTCACCCCACCCCACTGACATTAACACATTCACACTTTGCTATATAAACAGCACAGTGGTACCTCGGGTTACATACGCTTCAGGTTACAGACTCCGCTAACCCAGAAATAGTACCTCAGGTTAAGAACTATGCTTCAGGATGAGAACAGAAATTGTGCAGCAGCGGCACGGCAGAAGCGGGAGGCCCCATTAGCTAAAGTGGTGCTTCAGGTTAAGAACAGTTTCAGGTTAAGAACGGACCTCTGGAACAAATTAAGTACTTAACCCAAGGTACCACTGTACACACTTACTTAGGAGACAGGCTGCACCCAGGTATTTAAAGCACAAGGCTTCTGCCAAAGAATCATTGGCACTGTAGTTTACCCCTCACAGAGCTACAATTTCCAGCACCCTTAACTAACTACAGCTCCCAGGATGCTTTGGGGGAAGTCATGTGATTTAAATATACGAGGGTGCACACAGGCCTCAGCCTGAAGTCAGTAAGGCTTGCTTCCAAGTGTGTAGGATTGCACTATAATTCCATATGCCAGGAGTGGGGGGCCTTTTTCAGTCTGAGGTATGCGTGCTCTCCTGGGTAGTCCTCTGGTGTCTGTGTGCCAATGGTTGGTGGTGGTGGGAGGCCCAAAAAATGAATGCAGGCTAACATACCTAACTTCACATGTGTACTACTGGAGTGTGAACTGGTGGTGACTGATCTGGAAAAAGATATTGAGGCTGTAGCAGATGACTCAGTGAAAATTTCAACCCATTATTCAGCAGCTGTGAAAAAAGTGGATTCCATGCTAGGGACCATTAAGAAAGGGATTAGAAATATAACTGCCATTATCATAATGCCATTAAACAAAGCTACAGTGCAACCGCACTAGGAATACTCGTCCAGCATCATAGAGTTGGGAAAGGTGCAAATAAGGGCAACCAAAATGATTATAGGGCTGGAGCAACTCCCCTGTGATGGAAGGCTACAGCACCAGACTGAATGTTGGAATACTCATGGCAGACAAGAAGTACTCTTCACATGGCACAGATCAGCTAAGGAATTTAGCGCCACAGTATATGTTCATGGCCACCTGCATGGATGACTTTAAGACAAATTAGTGGAGGATAAGGCCATTGAAAGACGCTAGCCACAATGATTATGTGCTGCCTCCAGTATCAGAGGCAGTGTGGTAGGATCCAGCAGGGCTGCTGCTATGTCCTTAAGTTAGCGGACCAGTGGATGCAGTTCTTACCTCTGCAAAGCAGGCGACATTCCAACCACACAAAAGCAAAGGTTTCTACACCACAACCACCCCACATGCACACACCTGCCCGACTAGGCAGGCAAGCAAAAGGCATTATCACAACATAAGGACACTTCCCAGTCAGGCAAAAGCTTTTGAGGAGGGCCAAGATTGTGTGCGATGGAGATGAGGAAGGGCTTGGGAAGAGTCCTAGTGGCTGGACAGAGATGCCTAGATGGCTGCATTGGCCTCCCCTCAAGCCTAAGATAATCTTGTCTCTCTTTCCTGTGGTGACCTCTGCTAATGCAATTGTTTATATGCAACATGCTGCTTCTGTGAGATATCTAGGAGCATATAATTTTGAAATTAATATATGCAATGTGGAAATGGCACTTCCTCTGACGGTGCTGTTTCAGAAATACCTTTTCTGGAAGAAGCTGTACCGACACAGTTTCCATGGAGCTCCTTTAGTTCCAAAGCAACTGTTTACACATTATCATAGTAGTGCTTTCAGACAAACTGCTCATGTGAAAACTGAGACGGTAGAGTTACATGAGAGACTTGCAAACAATCAGTGACTGAATGTATGAATATTCAGTTCGGCTTCCATTACTCTGAAAATCACTCCTTATCCTCCCTTCCAGTTGCAGAGGGTTGAACAATTTCTGTCTGTTTCTGAAATGCTAAATATCTAAAAACTGGATGCTAAACAAAGCCTTGTTCTTCACACTTCATATAATACCATCTTTTTAGCTGTTCTTTAAATCTTTCCTAAATTGAACTGGGTCTTCATTTGGGATATGGAGGAAAGCTATTGTAGTGTATAAATCAAGACCCCGACATTTGAGGTGCTAGTAATTTTCCATCATGGGTACAACAATTTCAAAATGGCAGCCATCTTTGTACTGCGGCATTGTCATGGTCGAATTGTGGTTAATTTTTTGTTCAAGCTGTCCCTCCCTCTGTCTGTGATGACTAACTGGACTGGCTTTTCTCGAATAAAACTCTGAAGGCTTGAGCCCCCTCAGTCTCAAATCCAAAGGAGGGCCTAGGAGAAAGGTGGCCAATGTGGTTAAAGTAGCTACCGGCATAGCATGCAGC